TCAAGCAGCCCTCAAAGCTGGTGCGGGACACCAGCCCGCACCAGCTTTCAAGCACCAGCTGGCCTCGATTTGCCTTCAAGCTGGCTGCGGGCTGGTGTCCCGCACCAGCTTTCAAGCACCAGCTGGCCTCGAGCAGCCCTCAAGCTGGCTGCGGGCTGGTGTCCCGCACCAGCTTTCAAGCACCAGCTGGCCCAAGCAGCCCTCAAAGCTGGTGCAGGACACCAGCCCGCACCAGCTTTCAAGCACCAGCTGGCCTCGATTTGCCTTCAAGCTGGCTGCGGGCTGGGTCCCGCACCAGCTTTCAAGCATCAGCTGGCCTCGAGCAGCCCTCAAGCTGGCTGCTGGCTCAAGCAGCCCTCAAAGCTGGTGCGGGACACCAGCCCGCACCAGCTTTCAAGCACCAGCTGGCCTCGATTTGCCTTCAAGCTGGCTGCGGGCTGGTGTCCCGCACCCGCTTTCAAGCACCAGCTGGCCTCGAGCAGCCCTTCAAGCTGGCTGCAGGCTGGTGTCCCGCACCCGCTTTCAAGCACCAGCTGGCTCAAGCAGCCCTCAAGGCTGGTGCGGGACACGAGCCCGCACCAGCTTTCAAGCACCAGCTGGCCTCGATTTGCCTTCAAGCTGGCTGCGCGGGCTGGTGTCCCGCACCAAAGCAGCCCTCAAGCTGGCTGCGGGCTGGTGTCCCACACCAGCTTTCAAGCACCAGCTGGCTCAAGCAGCCCTCAAAGCTGGTGCGGGACACCAGCCCGCGCCGGCTTTCAAGCACCAGCTGGCCTCGATTTGCCTTCAAGCTGGGTGCGGGCTGGTGTCCCGCACCAGCTTTCAAGCACCAGCTGGCCTCGAGCAGCCCTCAAGCTGGCTGCGGGCTGGTGTCCCGCACCAGCTTTCAAGCACCAGCTGGCTCAAGCAGCCCTCAAAGCTGGTGTGGGACAGCAGCCCGCACCAGTTTCAAGCACCAGCTGGCCTCGATTTGCCTTCAAGCTGGCTGCGGGCTAGTGTCCCGCACCAGCTTTCAAGCACCAGCTGGCCTCGAGCAGCCCTCAAAGCTGGTGCGGGACACCAGCCCGCACCAGCTTTCAAGCACCAGCTGGCCTCGATTTGCCTTCAAGCTGGCTGCGGGCTGGTGTCCCGCACCAGCTTTCAAGCACCAGCTGGCCTCGAGCAGCCCTCAAGCTGGCTGCGGGCTGGTGTCCCGCACCAGCTTTCAAGCATCAGCTGGCCTCGAGCAGCCCTCAAGCTGGCTGCGGGCTGGTGTCCCGCACCAGCTTTCAAGCACCAGCTGGCTCAAGCAGCCCTCAAGGCTGGTGCGGGACACCAGCCCGCACCAGCTTTCATGCACCAGCTAGCCTCGATTTGCCTTCAAGCTGGCTGCGGGCAGGTGGCCCGCACCAGCTTTCAAGCATCAGCTGGCCTCGAGCAGCCCTCAAGCTGGCTCTGGGCTGGTGTCCCGCACCAGGTTTCCAGCACCAGCTGGCTCAAGCAGCCCTCAAAGCTGGTGCGGGACACCAGCCCGCACCAGCTTTCAAGCACCAGCTGGCCTCGATTTGCCTTCAAGCTGGCTGCGGGCTGGTGTCCCGCACCAGCTTTCAAGCACCAGCTGGCCTCGAGCAGCCCTCAAAGCTGGCTGCGGGCTGGTGTCCCGCACCAGCTTTCAAGCACCAGCTGGCCCAAGCAGCCCTCAAAGCTGGTGCGGGACACCAGCCCGCACCAGCTTTCAAGCACCAGCTGGCCTCGATTTGCCTTCAAGCTGGCTGCGGGCTGGTGTCCCGCAGCAGCTTTCAAGCACCAGCTGACCTCGAGCAGCCCTCAAGCTGGCTGCGGGCTGGTGTCCTGCACCAGCTTTCAAGCACCAGCTGGCTCAAGCAGCCCTCAAAGCTGGTGCGGGACACCAGCCCGCACCAGCTTTCAAGCACCAACTGGACCTCGATTTGCCGTCAAGGCTGCGGGCTGGTGTCCCGCACCAGCTTTCAAGCACCAGCTGGCCTCGAGCAGCCCTCAAGCTGGCTGCGGGCTGGTGTCCCGCACCAGCTGTCAAACACCAGCTGGCTCAAGCAGCCCTCAAAGCTGTTGCGAGCTTTCAAGCACCAGCTGGCCTCGATTTGCCTTCAAGCTGGCTGCGGGCTGGTTTCCCGCACTAGCTTTCAAGCACCAGCTGGCCTCGAGCAGCCCTCAAGCTGGCTGCGGGCTGGTGTCCCGCACCAGCTTTCAAGCACCCGCTGGCTCAAGCAGCCCTCAAAGCTGGTGCGGGACCAGCCCCACCAGCTTTCAAGCACCAGCTGGCCTCGATTTGGTGGCTGTGGGCTGGTGTCCCGCACCAGCTTTCAAGCACCACCTGGCCTCAAGCAGCCCTCAAAGCTGGTGCGGGAACCAGCCCACACCAGCTTTGCACCGGATGGCGATTTGCCTTCAAGCTGGCTGCGGGCTGGTGTCCCGCACCAGCTTTCAAGCACCAGCTGGCCTCGAGCAGCCCTCAAGCTGGCGTCCCGCACCAGCTTCCCACCAGCTGGCCTCGAGCAGCCCTCAAGCTGGCTGCGGGCTGGTGTCCCGCACCAGCTTTCAAGCATCAGCTGGCCTCGAGCAGCCCTCAAGCTGGCTGCGGGCTGGTGTCCCGCACCAGCTTTCAAGCACCAGCTGGCTCAAACAGCCCTCAAAGCTGGTGCGGGACACCAGCCCGCACCAGCTTTCAAGCACCAGCTAGCCTCGATTTGCCTTCAAGCTGGCTGCGGGCTGGTGTCCCGCACCAGCTTTCAAGCACCAGCTGGCCTCGAGCAGCCCTCAAGCTGGCTGCGGGCTGGTGTCCCGCACCAGCTTTCAAGCACCGCTGGCTCAAGCAGCCCTCAAGCTGGCTGTGGGCTGGTAGCACCAGCTGGCTCAAGCAGCCCTCAAAGCTGGTGCGGGACACCAGCCCGCACCAGCTTTCAAGCACCAGCTGGCCTCGATTTGCCTTCAAGCTGGCTGCGGGCTGGTGTCCTGCACCAGCTTTCAAGCACCAGCTGGCCTCGAGCAGCCCTCAAGCTGGCTGCGGGCTGGTGTCCCGCACCAGCTTTCAAGCACCAGCTGGCTCAAGCAGCCCTCAAAGCTGGTGCAGGACACCAGCCCGCACCAGCTTTCAGCACCAGCTGGCCTCGATTTGCCTTCAAGCTGGCTGCGGGGCTGGTGTCCCGCAACAGCTTTCAAGCACCAGCTGGCCTCGAGCAGCCCTCAAGCTGGCTGTGGGCTGGTGTCCCGCACCAGCTTTCAAGCACCAGCTGGCTCAAGCAGCTCTCAAAGCTGGTGCGGGACACCAGCCCGCACCAGCTTACAAGCACCAGCTGGCCTCGATTTGCCTTCAAGCTGGCTGCGGGCTGGTGTCCTGCACCAGCTTTCAAGCACCAGCTGGCTCACAGCCCTCAAAGCTGGTGCGGGACACCAGCTGGCCTATCCCGCACCAGCTTTCAAGCACCAACTAACTCAAGCAGCCCTCAAAGCTGGTGCGGGACACCAGCCCGCACCATTCAAGCACCAGCTGGCCTCGATTTGCCTTCAAGCTGGCTGCGGGCTGGTGTCCCGCACCAGCTTTCAAGCATCAGCTGGCCTCGAGCAGCCCTCAAGCTGGCTGCTGCATGGCTCAAGCAGCCCTCAAAGCTGGTGCGGGACACCAGCCCGCACCAGCTTTCAAGCACCAGCTGGCCTCGATTTGCCTTCAAGCTGGCTGCGTGCTCGAGGCCAGCTGGTGCTCGAAAGCTGGTGCGGGCTGGTGTCCTGCACCAGCTTTGACGGCTGCTTGAACCAGCTGGTGCTTGAAAGCCGATGCAGGACCGCAGCCAGCTTGAGGGCTGCTTGAGGCCAGCTGGTGCTTGAAAGCTGGTGCGGGCTGGTGTCCCACACCAGCTTTGAGGGCTGCTTGAGCCAGCTGGTGCTTGAAAGCTGGTGCGGGACACCAGCCCGCAGCCAGCTTGAAGGCAAATCGAGGCCAGCTGGTGCTTGAAAGCTGGTGCGGGCTGCTGTCCCACACCAGCTTTGAGGGCTGCTTGAGCCTGAAAGCAGCTGGTGCTTGAAAGCTGGTGCGGGACACCAGCTTGCAGCTTGAGGGTTGCTCGAGGCCAGCTGGTGCTTGAAAGCTGGTGCGGGCTGGTGTCCCGCACCAGCTTTGAGGGCTGCTTGAGCCAGCTGGGCTGCTCGAGGCCAGCTGGTGCGGGACACCAGATGGAGGACAACTTGTGATTGAAAGCTGGTGCGGGACACCAGCCCGCAGCCAGCTTGAAGGCAGATGGAGGCCAATGTGTGCTTGTCCCGCATCAGCTTTAAGGCGGATGGAGGCCAACTTGTGATTGAAAGCTGGGGCGGGACACGACACTAGCCCGCAGCCAGCTTGAAGGCAGATTGGCGCTAACTTGTGCTTGAAAGCTTGGGGGACATCCCAATCCCACACTTTGTTTTTCGCAGCTTTGACGTCGCTTTGCAGGCCTTTTTTGGGCATCAGAGCCACCCACGCGAACAGGGCGCACAATGCTGCGCACTTTGGGATGCCCGTGAAATCACCAAAAGCTCGAGGTGATGTCAGAATTCTTTGGGAGCTGTGGTAAGGCCCGGCACGGAACCCTGGGCATTCAAAACGGAGCGGAGGAGGGTTGTCGCCTGGCTAGTGCACTGTCGCCAGCGGCATTTTCAGAAGCTGAGTTTAGTCAACACACACGGTCAATTGCTCGCAAGTTTTGAATGGCCCGAAATCCCGAAAACCTGAATTAGCACACTTCCCGGGGACCAACTCGGCTTGCTCAATGGCGGTGGATCGCGCTAGTCAGGCATCATAGAGCGGCATTGCGTTGCCAACAGTAACCGAAATCCCCGCTTGCCCCACTTGGCGTCGGCAAAGCTAGCCGAAATTGCCACCACCACTAAAGTCTGGACGGGGGACGATGCGAGCGGGGCAAGTCGGGCAAGTCAGTTGGCGACCCCTTGCACGCCCACCGCCGCATTTTAAGAGATCAAGTAAGTCATTGTCGCAACGACTTGCCTTGCAGGCTGTACGGCCATGTCAAGGGTCGCACTCCAAGCGCTGTTCGCCCAAGCCTCGTCCGCATTGATGGAAACAAGGCGTGCCTTGAAAGCAGCATAAAGCAGCTAAATATGGTGGGTGAGATGTTCTTGAATGTTCCATGAAGTTGTCTGAGCTGAGCGCTTAGCAACTGCTGAGCAACGTGCTTAGCAACGCAGCTGGAGCAATCACCCCTCGAGCATCCAAGGCGCGACAGCCACTGGTTGAAAGGGAAAGAGTGTAGCATCTCGCCCTGACCACTAGTGCTATGATCTGTCGGTGTCACTAGGTGTTGTGCTGCCTATCTCCAAGGAGTACAATCTGGCGGTGGCTTCATGGGCTACCTCTATGGCGGCTTAGCCGTCCCCTTAGAGTTCGGCAGAAGATGCATCGTCATTGGGAAACCTGTGAAACAGCAGCTTGCTCGAAGAACCTTCACAAATCCGATGGTGACCACGACATCCCACCCCACAAGAACCCAAGAACCGAAGTGTACATGCTTTCAGGTCAGCACAGTCGCCGACACAGCGCGGTTTGTGGAGACCTCAGAGCCGAATCTTTTTAGGCCGACCAGGATCAGACTCCTACGCTTTGTGTGTCTTTTGATTCAAGCCGTACTCGCTCCACCAGCCCCAAAGTGGCAGTTAAAACTATGAGTATCGTTTCACAAAATAACCACAGGGTAAAACCAATGAATCTCCAAGCAGACCCTGGAGGCTCGACCCCGACCCCATGCCCTCCGTTACATGTTTTTCCCCGCGTGGAGCTCTGAGTCCCAGCAGTTGTCCTAGCAGCTGTCCTTCGTTAGTTTCGCCTCTGGTTACCACACCGTGCCTGCTACTAATTTCTGGGCTTATTTGTTAAATGACATGGCCCCAGAGAAATAGTAAAACCAAGAGCTCCCTGGAAAAGTGCTGGGGCGAATCTTGAACCGGAGACTTTAATCACTGGGGGCCCGCTTATCTGCAGGAGCTCCTGCCGTGGGGCCTGCGTTTTGGTGAGCAGTGCTTTTCAGAATATACCGTTTTATTGTTGCAAACTTTATTGGTTCGCGTTTTGGTTCGCAGTGTTTTTTGGGGAATGTTGTTCTGGTTAGCAGTAGTTGTCAGAATTTTAGGTTGATAAACACGGGAGCGTTCATAAGCAGGGGCGGAGGAGTTCTCAGGCTCTCTCCACTTGATTTAAGCGGTCCGGACACAACGGAGGCGCGCAGTTGATGCCTGGATAATTTTCTCCCTGGCATAGTGAACTTGCTTTGTTGAATTTTGGCCTTGAGGTACCTTGAACAAGGAAAAGGCTTCTATTCAGCATTGCTTAAAACCACACACGAATTCGTGATCGAGAGCGTCCAAACGCGCCCTATCTTGAGGCTGCAGCACTCATGTGGCTTTAAGAAGCAGGAAGCTTTAGCGTAGCGCCGCACCACTGATCTCCGAAGTAAAGTGATGCAGTGCATGGGCATGTTTGCGGAAGCTTCCGACAGCAGAATGGTGAGAAAGCGCCACTTTGTCAGAACATGTGAAGGTGAACGGTGTGGGATGCCGCGGAGCTGCTCCCTGACTTCCGCGGTTTGCAGGGAGAGCCGACGCGTCGAATGTCTCATCGGCGTGGTGCAGCAGGGCATGAGGAAGTGAGGAAGTGTGGCCCACCGCGCCCTCGCGGACAAGGGTCCGGGTGACAGTCTCACGCCAATTGGAGCTTTCGAGCGAAGCGCAGGCGATGGCTGGACGCCGAGAACAAGCTTTTCCGCAAGTTTCCGATGACATTCAGAGTTCGCTTGCGAGACAAGACGCCCATGTGCCGAAACTTGTGTGGCAGCGTGTGAAAGCTTGAGACACAAGACGTGGCGGCTGTCGCTCGCGCAGAAAAAACGGGTGCCGCAAACCGAGCACAGAGAAAAACCAGCTTTTTCCTGCGAGTGAGATGGCACTCAGAGTGAGGGGCGCACGACGGGGAACGTGGGAAACTTGCCGCGCTTGCCCCGAACCTGGCACATCAAAAAGCAAGCTGCCGCAAGCTATTGTTCGCAAGCGAAACGACGTTGACACCTTCGTTTGCTGGAAGCACGCACAAGCTTGAGATACAAGAGTTGTGGTGCCTGTGGCACGGGAAATTTAAACTGGACATCTACCGCGTTTTCTCCGAACCTGGCACAGAGAAAACAAGCGATTGTCCGTGGGCGAGATGTACTGAGAATTTCTTTGCGAAACAAGATGCCCACATGCTGAAACTTGTGTGTCAACACGTACAAGATTGAGTTGCAAGAAGTGTGTTGGCTGTCACACGGGGGAAACTTGAAAATTTTCTGTGCCTGCCCCGAACCTGGCACGGACAACAACAAGTTTTTGCCGCGAGCGAGATGGCACTGAGAGTTGCTTGCGAGACAAGATGCCCATTTGAAAACTTGGTTCGAGGCAAAGTCCAAAGAAACTTGGACTAAGCCAGACGAGTCCGTAACTGCCGTTGTCTAGAAAACCACAACCCGCGGTGAAGGCATGCTTGAGGCATGTGTTAATAACTGTATCTCACTGTTGTGTAGGCTCAAGGTAGGAGTGACATTATATAGTGTCATTAGCGAGCCCAATAGCGAGAAGAGATGGAACTTGGGGTTAAAAGGGGAACCTCCGTCACTTCATTTTTTGAGAGGAGACAAACCCAAACCGTACCTGCTAGGGGTATCCAAGACTGCTCTGTTTTTGTTTTCCAAGGAATCGTGGATCTTGGATGTTGAAGGCAATAGTCAATAATTCCTCAACACAAGGGTGGCCCATGCCTGGGTCTACCCATTGTCCCATTCAACCCCACAACCCTCGTCATGGGCCCCAATTATTGGGTTAAACCAGTCAGAAGGATTGCTTGGGTTAATCATGGCTTCTGGGTGAATGGGTTGATGGGTTGATGGGTTCATGACTTAACTTAACTCGTTCATGGGGCGTAAGGACTGGGTTTATGGGTGTATGTTAGCGGCTAATGGGCGGGCATGCGTTTGGTGTTTATGAACACCTTGCAGTCATGGAATAGCGAAGTTTCCAAAACACATGGAGAGCGGGGCCGGTCCAAAAAGAAAATCTCCACAGCGTCCCCTCAAACCAATGGGTGGGAATGGTTTAGGGACTACCTAACCATCAGGGTCGCTAAAACAATAGTTCAGGACTTGCACGACAGAAGCTCGAGGAGGGAGGGGATGCGGGAGTACTCATCTTTTGTTCTCATGGGACAAGGACTCCGAAACCTTAAAAACTCCCAGCCGAGGTCCGCATGCTGATGCATAAAGGCAAGCTGGATGATGGACGGAGGTTTTTGAGCCCATCGTCAGTGACAGCATTGGAGAAAAATCGTATGAAGGAAGGTGTTGATCCAGCACCGTCGCTGAATATGCTCACAATGACAGCGAAGTACGCGACCAATCCATGTCGGATTCCTTTTGATGAGTTCCGGGAGCATGTGTTGGTTTCAACTGAGGTCAATTACCTGGGCAATATCGGAACTTACCGAAAGAATGGCACAGAATATGGGATGGGTGGTGCTGCATGCAGCAGAGCTGGACATTATCTTGTGGCTGCGTTCCTGGCAAACATGTCATGCTGAGCGACGTGGTCTAGCTGGGGTTGTCCGAGGTACATACTGGTCCATTGACAGGGCGGACGAGACCGCGACTATTTGGTTCACTCAGCACGTGGACATGCTGCCTGATAGCAGTGGCATATCCGGCTTTTTGCGTTCTATGATTTTTTCTCATAAAGCTTGTCGCTGCTTCCCCTTAAGTCTTTGGCGCTTGCTTTGCGCTTGCTTTGCGGGTTGTGCAACAGTCCAGGCCTGAGGTCGCAGACATGCTCCTTAGCAGATCTTAGCATGTTCAGCACGTGTAGCCCCACGATGATGCTACTGTCACCAAGGAAAGGGATTAACACAAAGAAAGCAGATCTTTGGGACGTGTTGCACCGGGCGGTTGTCAAAGGCTCAAAGCCACACCCTCAGCTCAGTCCAGGTTCAGGGTAATTGCCGACACTTGTGGGGTCTGACAGTGACGCGATGATGCTTCAAGCAGTCAGACATGCACAATCAAAGACATTCAAAGACTTCAGGTCATCCAATGCACACCGGTCAGCCAAGCGTGCTAGATCAGAATGACTAGCATGCGCTGTGTGAAATAGGTGAAAGAAAGGCTGAACGGCATCCAAGAACTTGGAGCCTACAATGCCTACATATGCCTACAATACCTGTTGACAGTGCACAGATGTGCACAGCACTTGGGATCAGTCCCTGCAATCCTTTCAGCGTACCCTGGTTAACGGAACATTTGCAGTTGGCATACTAGAACCCAGAAGGGACCGAGGCCCACGTGTTCGGGGGTTTAGCAACGTCGTCTGAACTTGGACGGCTTGCATGGCTTGCAAGACTGAGATACTCAGTCAGCAGACAGGTCGAAGCCTTTGTTGTGTAGACACAGGCGGTGTGCTAGATAAGATTAAATGTGTCAGGGCCGTGTGCAGATCTGCGTGCAATTCTGTTGCGGGTTTTGTGGGGGAGCATGTCTCCACCCTTATGCAGTGTATATCATTGCGGGCTGGGTTGCTCACGGCCAGTCTCGGACGGTCGCGGGCAATAGACAAGCACGCAGTGAACCGAGAAAGGCACCCCCTTGCTTCTGCCGCAGGTACAGCCAACCATGCTCCAGCAGGTTCGCCCATCCACGCGCCAGCAACGGGGTTTTAGTCACTGAAAGCATGCTCCTTTCATCGAGCGACCTGTGAATCCTGGCACTACGGCAGGCTATTTTCTCGACCACTGCTGGGCAAGATGCTGGTGTCTCCATTTGCTGGGCCATCAAGTGTCGTCACGTGCGAATGTCAAGGATCTATCGATCCAAGCAAAAGCCGCCTCTTGAGGCCGATTATGCCGTGGAGGAAGATGGCTGCAGGCAGAGAAATCAAAGGTGGATGATGGCGGATGTAGCGCATTTGGCTTCATGAGGTGCCTGTGTCACATAGCTGGGACCTTGGAGCTTGTGCAGCACCACGATGAAACTACAGAACGCTCTGTGCACGTGCACAGGTTTGCCAATCCGCAACACTCTGCCTGAGAAGCAGGCTTCTGCAGTAGCCCTTAGTGCATGCTGTTTCGTCTCGGTACTGAGTCGGCGCAGAGCAGATTGAATGTAGGCTCGACGGCCCTGCCTGTGGTGACCAAGATTTGTTCTGTTCGTAACAGGCACCGCCGGCACCGCGTGGCCGAGAACTGGCTTTCTCTTCTAGCTGCTCGGGCACATTGTGGGTGCCTTTGTTAGAGAAGGCGGCGAACCGTGACGAGTAAGTCCGACCCCTCAACAAATGCGGCGTGTCACCTGATTGTTGCATGCAGCATGCTCGCAGCGAAACAGAGAGTAACATACCAATCACGGCTAGGGCTGAGGATGGCCAGGGAGGGCAGTGAGCACTCGGAGGGGACCTTTGATTATGATGCCACTATAGACATGATCAGACTGTACAAGTGTGCTCTCTGTGATCGCAGGCCTGGGCTCGGATCAATGGTTCATACCAGGCCCCGATGTCCACATGGCAGCTACTTGCAGCTACGGTGAGTTGTAAACATGGCGATCAACCCAGAGCATGTCGGAGCATGCCATAGAGTAGGCAGAGGACTGGCAGAGGTGAAGAGAGAGTACCGGCGCAGAGGCAGCAGAGCGCGGAGATTCTGCCGAGGCCGAGGGTTGTAGAGGCCGCTACGGCTGAAAAAAGGCTCCGGTTTGTTAAAGCCAGCAGGCACTGGCGGCTCTCACTGGAGCTCCTGCGAAGTCTGGGCCTGTTCAATTCCATAAGCTTTGCTCTGGAAACTGTTGCATTTGCTTGCATTTGCTTTGCTAGAAGCCCAAGGCTTCTCAACGGAAAGCCCTCAAATGAGACCGTACGAACCGAAGTTCGCGTCATGGCCATGTGCTTTAAAGTTTACATGACCCCAGCCCCACCAGCTGCATTAGAGCAAAGCTCAACTAAGACTAAGAAGCGGCACCACTTCCTGTTGAAAGTTTGGTGTTGCCGTCATTGAAATGCTCACTGAGGCACTACAGCTTGCATTCTGGAAGCTCCAACAATCACTGGGGCATCTCCTCAATGCTCTCCGCGTGAGCATACGAAATCGATGCCAAGCACTGCAGACTTATTGGGTGCCCGCTGCATGTCGTTGCATTGAGCGAGGTACACTCCTGGAAATTTGGCTATGTGGGCAGGCCGAGTCGAGGGGGAAAGATGCTTTAAATTTCGCAGAACAAAACTGAAGGGAGCGATGTTGGGTCGGTCAGGCCGTGGCATCTCCACGTTGTTTTGGGGACGAGGCGCTGCCATCAGCTTTCCGGGGCTTTGGAAATCGATGCGGACCTGTGGTTGGCGACTGGTATGGGTTTCGCACTGTCTTGTACCCAGCAAGTCCAGCTTCCGGGCATTTGGCTTTGAAAGCAAGAAGAAGCGACCAAGTGCCAGCTCCACCAGCACGAATGTATCAATGCCAGGAAGAAACGAAAAACCCGGGCTCAGGGTGTTGGAAGCGTGTGACAAGTCTGCATGTGAGGAAAGCAGAAAGCCATGGGCGGCACCTGTGTCAGCAACACGCCTCCCCAGACTGCTGCCGGAATTGGCAAGACAGATACTGGCTGCGATGTTCCTTTGGAATGGCTTCGGCGACTTTTTATCTTTGGCTGTGCCGAACTTAAAGTGAACATGCCTCCAGACGCAATGCGCACGACATGGTATGAACACGTTTGACATGGCGACAGCTTATGCTTACAGGGCTCGTCTTTTGTGGACATCAGGTTGTGTGCGCCTCAATCAGTTGTGACCAACGTTGGCACCAGCAGGCTGCCTACGTGGTTCTGGATGGATTGGTGTAACGCATGTTCTGCTCCCCTTGCTCATACTTCTTACCCTGCAAGGACTTGACTGGACTTTACCTGCGGCTCTCGCAATGGGACCGAGAAGGACATGGCCCGAGAGACATGTCAAAGAGATTTGAAAGCAGAATATCAGAATAACGCAGAGGCAGTTCCGCCAGTTCTGCTGCTCCGTTCTGGAATGTCGCTAAACACTGTCCAGGAACTACGGAAACTCACAACTTCTACGATGTGTCTTTGGGCTACAACACTTTCGCATGAACGCTTTGCACCCGAAGCGGAAGCATGGTTGCCACGTTTGCAGCTTTGCAGCCTGTGTTACTCAACGGAAGGTCCACCACTTTCATCCTACTTTCACGAGGAGCGTCTTTCGCCCGCCTGCCTTCTCTAGACCAGGAGGCCGGAAGTGGGGTCAGGCCTAAACCCCAAAGTTTTGAGCTATGTACTGCGTTGACCCTCTACCTGTCTCTTGGCTTCAGGCCGAGATGGATCAAGTCACACGGGGACGGCTTTTGGATTCTCTGGCGCGCATAGGCTTGTGATTGGAGTGCAATCATGTCAACGTCAACCACCAGCTGCACATAGCTGCACTTTCAGGTGGCTACCCTGAGCGCTGCGGAATTTGCGTGGCAGCAGAGGACACAGTGTCCGAGGGCATCGACAGTAGGTTCCGCCTGGGTGCAGGCCTCGGACAGGACCACGGCATGACGTGGTTGGCCGCATTGCCCCAAGTATTCAGAAAAAGCTGTGAGACACGACCTGTAGTCGACCTGTGTACCAGGCACTACTGCCCGTACATCCTCAAGGGATCCCGTTGTAACCCAGCACGTGAAGCAACGACTTCCTGCTGGAAAATATTGCCACGTAACTTGGCATGAGCACGGATCGTGTTGACCACATTGCTGACTGAGAGCGATTGCAGAGTATGCCGTTGACGCTATGGCAGACTACGACAGGGTCTTCACATGCAAAAGGGGTGGCAATAGATGCGGCACAAATAACAGCTTTGGCTTGGAGCGTGGGTCTTGTCCTGTTGCTTTGCAGACTGCAACCTTGCCGCATCGGTAATCCAAGGCATTGGCATTGGACAGACGGCCTTGGGATGATTTGCATGTGTCACCGCTGGAGATCCAGGAGATGTTTGCCAGGGACGTCGCCCATGCCCGAAAGGTGCCTCAACAGTACCAGTATACCTCTGCCACTGCCCTCCGAGAAACGCATCCAATTCAGCGGAGTGCAACATTTTACCCGCCGCCGTGGGCGGTAGAGTGAGGAATGGTGTCGGGGTCGACTATATATATATATATCCGATGGGAGACTCACGACATTTCTTTACGAGTTGTGAGACAGATCAGGAAAGCTAGCTGCTTTGGAGCTTGCGGGACTTTACAACCTTGTTTTGGGGCAAATAGGGCTTGGGGGGGGGGGGGGGCCTTTTTAAGCCCCTCCCCCCCCCCTTCCCCCCTCAATTTTTTGTCAGTCACGAGGCGATGCTTGGTGGAGCCCCCTGCGGCCCCCGCCTTTCCTTGGAACCTCCTTGGCATCTTCAACATAATGCTGCCATAATGCTACGGTTTGGCAAATGCCGCCTGCCATCCGCGGGGCCTAGCTTTCGTCCGCCCTGCTCTCAAGTTGAACGGTGAGACCGTCAACAATGCTTCAGAAAACCGACCGCCAAAGCTCACTAAAGGTCCAAAGTGAGCACTTTGAAGCGTGAAGCTGTGGCCCAGTATCGCCTTGAGATGGAGAGCCAAAAACTCCCACCGAGAATCCTGCAAAGTATCCCCGTAAGCCCCTCCCACAGAGAATAGCCGCAGAGTATCCATGGCCGAACGTCACCCACAAAGAATCCCGAGCAGTGAATCCTACAGTGCACACTCCCCGGAGAGTCGCGCAGACAGAGCATCCCAGCAGCGCAAATTTGTTTTTGGGGCTTGGAATTATGATTCGACTGGCCATGGCCAGGATGGCGCAAGTCGATCATTGGTGTACCAAAGAAATAAGAGCTTGTGATTGCAAAAGCCTGCGCAACAGATTTAAAGACGGGAGCACCGATTTTCGATTTGCTAGATTGGTTTCTGGGCCTTTGAGCTGCACATGAGGAAGTGCACATTTTGCAACGGGCGGGTTGCTTAAGGTGTTGCTGCTGCGCGGCCCTACCGCACCTGACGATGGCGTCTTACGTGCTCCTCTCCGGTTTGCCACATCCGTGCAGGCCATAACTGTCGCTCGGCATGGCAGACCACCTTGCCACGTTCTCGAGCTGTGGCATGCCCTGGCCAAGGTTAGCACGTCAACACTTCTTGGAGGCTTTGATGGCCTGATTGAAGACATGGCTGGCCTGCCTTTCGCTGTAAACTTGGGCGCATAAACGGTGAGCCATACAAATTCCAGAGCTGATGGGAGGGTGAGCATCTTAGGTTGGTTGGTGTCGATCTACTGCTACTCATTGGCCTGCCTACGGGCTTTGGCGCGCTGCTGGCAGTGGAGCTGAGCTGCCGCTATGGTGTGCAGGCGGAAACACTGCCTTCAGTGCCTGTCAACCGTTGTTAAGGGCAGCCAGGGCTTTGGCAGATATTTGCAGGCGCTCGATGTCGGGCAGTTTTCCTTGGCTGCAGCACCAGGGCAGAGACCGGCGCCCCCATTGACGACCTTGGGCAGTGGCGAAGAGGAGACCACATACGAACACACAGAGCATACAGCGACTTCACATGTTCCCCATATCCATGTCTGTAGCATCGTAGCCTCCAGTTTGCAATCTTGAAGCCGGCGCGCAGAAAAGCTTCCCGTTGTGAGGGAATAAAGGTGAATAAAGCCCCAGTAAGGGCTTCAGACAAGCATGATATGACATGGCTTAACGACTGACGTCATGGGATAAGGGTGTTCCGATCCCTGAGCAGACCCCCACTTGGGAGCCGCAGCTGCGGCGAGCAACACAGCCTATTTCTCTCAATGGCCCGTGGCAGATCCAAATTACTACAGACACTGCGGCTTCTCTGCAAGCTCGCCTTGGAGTTCACGTGCAAACCTGTTTGTCCCATGCAAGGCAAGGCAGGAAGACTTGGTCGAAGGAGCCTGGCGCACAATTGAAGTGCCCTTCCCACCCCAGGCCTACAAAGGCCGGGCGAAGACTTCGCACACCATGCGCGCTTGCGGCACACCGGTACCGAGTCCATCGGAGGAGTACTTCAGGAGTACTTAGGATGTACTTAGGTGTTCCATATGTGCATCGGTGACGAGAAATGCAGGTTTGGCCACCAAGATCTCTGCGTCAGAGGCCGTGTGGTACCGCCGGAGGCTGCAGGTGCCTGCGAGCTGGTGCGCGGCGGACAAGACCATTTGGCTGCAAGTGGATGCATGCGACTGGGAATGTGCAGCTCGGCATCCATGCGACGTGCAGGAGCCTATGATCTCTCATCCCCATGCCACCGAGCCGAAATGTAGGAGAACATAGGAGAACATTTGGTTCTGTTCCATCAAACTTCTTCGACAGAACTCTACATACTCGTACATGGCTCAGCTACTGTAGCTTCAATTGTCAGTTGAAATCCTGCGCAAACTGTAGAGAGAATGCGGAACCGACAGGACCAGGGGTCGGGCCAAGAGAACATGGCCTAAACACAAGAAAGCGCAGGTAAGTTGCATGGAGCTTTTGAAGACCATGAGGCACAGAGCAGCCGCTCCACTTTCCACACTCAGCTTGCTTTGTGAGAACTTGGAGCGTCGAGGCAGTCTACTTGGACTCCCAGCTACTTGGGGTCCACCGGGGTGGCTATGATGCCTTCCGCTTGGAGATGCCCCCTTCTGTGTGCTCCCACGGGGTCGCGCTGTTGGCCGAAGCCCAAGGAGGACTCAAGGACTCTACGCTGGACTCGGAATGGAGTACAAATCAGAGCATTAGCCGTCAGCGTTTGGGACTGCAAAGGTCCGTGCTTGGGACCCCACGGACGAGGGCTGCCCATTTACAGACCGACCCCCGATACCTTGCTACCCAGTTGCACATTCGAGAGGTGCACGCATGTGCGCATGTGCATGCTTCAGTCACTGGCGACGAGTCGAGGTGAAACTTGCTGCGAGAGCGGCTGGCAGCCGCGTGGAAAGCAATCCTTAAAGCCAGGCTCCATCATGTGCCCTCACCGAGTTTCGGAGGTGCAGAGGCCATCTGCAGAAACGGGAAGCATTGGGCTGGAGGTACACAGCAGTGACCGGCATTTGGCGGCAGGGTCTCTTCATGGAAGTTCTTCCTCGCTGCCACATCCGGGACTTGCACGTTGATGTGGCACAACTGCAGAACTTGAAGGAAGATGCCGCGTTCCCTTGAATCACAGCCCAGAAAAACACAATGCATGCCCAGGTACATAAGGATGCACCCCGCAAGTTGACAGCTGCTTGGCAAAAGTTGGGTTATGTTGGGCTACTCTTTGATTTGTGGAACTTTGGAGTTGCTGCAGGTCATGGCAGATGCGACATGCCAGGAACTTCTGTCCGTAGAAGCCTTTCAGTTGCAATCTCAATCTGAATGCTGTGGACTCTGACCTGATCTGACACTGCTTGGCAGCTTAAGACATCAAGAACACTTAGGTACTTGATTCCGAGGGTGCCCTCATCGGAATGGCCAGCGGACCTTGTTGCGAGCTGTACGTCGGCTGCATTCAGGCAGTATGAGGAACAGACGCGCCTAATCGCATGTGCTGCATCCTACATGTTCCATATCTGCGCCATCTGCATGCACATCGCATGACGGAACCCTTCCGCAGACTTTTGCAGATAGACTTCCCGCGCGAATCAGCCGGGCAGAGCCTGACAGTGCAGAGTCAAGCTTGCATTGGGTGGGCGTAGGCCAAGACTCCGGCAACTTCACGCAGCTGCCATGGCCAGTGCAGATGGCTTCGAGGGGCACTTGGGTGGACACGAGGCGCTGAGAACCCGCGTGTGAATGAACCGAACAAAAACATCGTGCCGAACCTGCAATCTAGAAACCTTGCAGCTGCTGCTGTTATGCCGTGCTGCTGTGTTGCTTGACACTAAGTCCTGGGAACGCATGCAGGTGCACATCAATGTGCCTGACAGCCCCAAGGACAAATCAAGCGACGGCATCGCGTGTCATCATGCCAGCTAATGTCAGTTCATGTCTCATGTTAGTATCGATGGTTTTCTCTTTAAACAGTGCGCCCGCTGTGCCGCTGTGCTGACACTGCACCAATGCAGGATTCAACTCCCCGAGGCTACAGAAAGCTTGTCTGGTTTACGCGGCCAAGCTGCAAAGAGTGTGAGCGCCGGATAGTGCAAAGCATCTTTGTTTGCATTTCAGCACTTCATGCTAGGCTGGCTGCTGGCGGCATGGTCGCCTTTTTGAGCCTTGTGGTTGCCGGACTTGTTGGCAGCTTCGCAGAAGAAGGCTTAGAGCCAGGACAAGCTGATGAACGGCGCTTGGGCGGGCGCAGCAATCCCTTTCGGGATCAAAAGTTCTACGTGAATCCCAGCTACAGGAGCATTTCTTCAAATGCTGCATATAGATTGTTGATTCTTGCCTTTTTTGGGCATGATGGCAAAGCTAGCTGTTGCAGGACATCCCTAGCCTCCAGCATTGCATCTTCAGATGGTCATATCCGAGCCACTCTGGAATCAGCACTCAATGTGCCTTCAGCCTATTGGCTTGACAAGCGAGGACACTTGGGCTAACCATGTGAACTGCTCGTGTCTTGTTTTTGTGACGGGTTGCTTGTCCAAAGCTGGTCCACACAGGGGGTGGGCACATGTTAGGAAAGATTCACGGCAGCTCCACGGGCAGCATGGAGGGGATCCTGGAAGATGCCGCCAGCAAGCCGGTTCCAGAGCTCGTGGTCTTCATCGTGTACGACCTGCCAAACCGCGACTGCCATGCTAAGGCCTCGAACGGCGAGCTGTGCTGTAGCTACAAAGCTGATGGGCGCTGTGACTACTTGGATGTGGGCGACGGCAGCTGCAGTGCCGGCCTCAAGCAATACAAGGAGGAGTACATTGACCAGATTGCCTCAGTGCTGCGGCAGTTCTCTGGACGTGTTCCAGTGGTGCTGGTCATCGAGCCGGATTCTTTGCCGAATCTGTCAACCAACCAGGCTGACCCAAGGTGTGGAAACGTTGCAACCAAAACCGCCTACCAGGGCGGAGTCAGCTATGCCGTCAAGGCTTTGGCTGCAGCCGATCCATATGCTGCAATCTACCTGGACGCAGGTCACGGCGGCTGGCTAGGCTGGAAGGACAACATGAAGGATTTCGTGCAGACAATCAAGGGCCTCGGGGTTTCGGATCACATCCGCGGCTTCGCCAGCAACGTCGCAGGCCCAGGCCTCAGCAAGGTGCAGATTCATTCCTGCGATCGGATATGTGCCGTTCATGGTCACTGACACCTTGCCCAATCACCCCCATGGCAGGTTTAATTATACAGGCTTATGGTAAACCGACGATCAGTCATATGAGTCATATGAGATATGTGAGAATTCCCCATCCCCCTGACGGCCTGTGGATTCTGACAATGCCGTACTTGAAGCTGTCCCTAGGTCCAGGCGCGCACAATGCACAGCAAGTTGCGTGCATGTAGCCGGTACATGGTACACGTGCTCTTGAATGCGCGAAGGTGCTCGCGATAGATGTGCCTCAAATCTTACATGCTTGCACCCCCAAAGCACAAGATCAAAATCCGGGCCCTTAGAAGCTTAGACAACCAAACGAATGATTCTTGCAGAAGTCTTCGCAAGCCCATCCATTTACTTGTTGTTAGACTGGCTTAACTAGTTGTAGGTTAGCCCTTTGCGTACGATGTGTGTGGTACACCGGCGGTGCCTCTTTGTGCTGCGCTTCCTCCTCCAAACAGGGTACAAGAGAAAAGGGTTGTCTCTCAGGATAGTCTGGGGTTGGGCACTCCAGGGACCCTCTGGACATACTGCCCCCACGCCGAGGGTGGAGAACAACATGTACTTTGATCATCCCCACCCCTGCAGCTGCCTTATGTGCCATCCTTCCGCTTTAGACAGGCTAGTACGGACGCTTCGCCACAGGCTTCTGTCGCGGGACTCTCCGCCAAATTTATCCCTGGAGCCGAGTCCCGCCGTCTAGCCTGGAGTGCCCCTCAAGAAAGCCCGCCAAGAGCTCCGCCAAGTATCCTGGACCCAGAGAAGCCTGCAGAGAGTCCCGGTGCCCACCCTCTCGGCGGGACTCTCTGCCATTCAGGAAGCTGAGCGAAGCGATGCGAAGCACATAACGTTGCGGAAAGACAAAGTGGCAACGCCCGACCGTGGACCGGCCTTTGGCTTTTTTTCTTCGTGATGGCTATGATGGTCGGCGTTGTGCGAAGCGTTGTCAAACACGGAGCATGAAATGGAAAAACAGCAGCTGCAGTAGCTGTGGCGATGTGCTTGTGCCGATATTTGTAATGGCAGGTCAATGCAACATAACCTAATTCCCTAGCCTCCTCACAGGTTGAGGGTGTCTGAAAATTGGCGTCCTTTCTGATCTTTCTTGATTGGCTCTTGCTAAGTTGGCTCCATCTCGCACATGCTCTGCTCTTTTTTGCTTAGGGCAGTTGTGCAAGCGACTTGCCAGCATCAGGTTACCAAAGCGTGGGTGAGGTGTGTCCGACCTACGACTTCTGCCTCAACAATGCCCATCCCAACCATCCGTGCTGCAGTGACCCCTGCGGCTTGACCAGCCAATGGAACCCGTCACACAACGAGATGCAGTATGCCCTGCACCTGCGGAAAGCCATGTCGGAGGGCATCCGTGGCTTTGTGCCCCACATGATCATTGACACGGGACGCAATGGTGTTGCAGGGATGCGTTCGGACTGCGCCAACTGGTGCAACATTCGAGGCGCCGGCGTAGGTCTCGCGGCCACGACGGACACTGCCAGACCATCTGTTGTTGATGCCTACTTCTGGCTGAAGACGCCAGGTGAATCTGATGGTTGTTCGCAGACACTTCCGGATGGAGGTTCGTGCCCGCGCTTCGATGAGGACTGTGCCTCCGTCGACAGCATCGGCTTTCGCCCGGAGGAGCCCCGCGCGCCCGAAGCTGGACAGTGGTTCGACTACCAGATTAAAGAGCTCGCCGCAAATGCGCGGCTTCATGAAGACAGCCCTCGGCCTGCATCCGAAGCAGACACGGCATCATCATCAAAGAACCCCTTTAAGGACAAAGTGTTCTACGTGAATCCTTCGTACCAGGCATCCTTGTCCACCAGCATCCAGTCCTCGGAGGGTGCAATCAAGGAGACACTCGAGGCCATGGTGGATTTACCCTCGGCATACTGGCTGGACAAGCGAGACAAGATTCACGGCAGCTCCACGGGCAGCATGGAGGGGATCCTGGAAGATGCCGCCAGCAAGCCGGTTCCAGAGCTCGTGGTCTTCATCGTGTACGACCTGCCAAACCGCGACTGCCATGCTAAGGCCTCGAACGGCGAGCTGTGCTGTAGCTACAAAGCTGATGGGCGCTGTGACTACTTGGATGTGGGCGACGGCAGCTGCAGTGCCGGCCTCAAGCAATACAAGGAGGAGTACATTGACCAGATTGCCTCAGTGCTGCGGCAGTTCTCTGGACGTGTTCCAGTGGTGCTGGTCATCGAGCCGGATTCTTTGCCGAATCTGTCAACCAACCAGGCTGACCCAAGGTGTGGAAACGTTGCAACCAAGAGCGCCTACCAGGGCGGAGTCAGCTATGCCGTCAAGGCTTTGGCTGCAGCCGATCCATATGCTGCAATCTACCTGGACGCAGGTCACGGCGGCTGGCTAGGCTGGAAGGACAACATGAAGGATTTCGTGCAGACAATCAAGGGCCTCGGGGTTTCGGATCACATCCGCGGCTTCGCCAGCAACGTCGCAGGCCCAGGCCTCAGTCGCTCGTGCGGCTGAAGCCTCATATCTTCTGAGCTTAGGCTTCTCTTCCGAAGAGGTAGGAGGCTTGTGTATACTAGACTCGGTTGTCGCCGGCAAACCGAATTCTGACGAAACACCTCTGCAGTCTGCTATGCTGCACGTTGAAGCTTCGCATGCTAAACTGCAAGGGGTGAAGTAGTCGAAGCGCCAGTCGAAGTCCGAGCAAGTGAGACAGCACTGCACTGCAGGCTATCAGTATGTGGGTGAGGTGTGTCCGACCTACGACTTCTGCCTCAACAATGCCCATCCCAACCATCCGTGCTGCAGTGACCCCTGCGGCTTGACCAGCCAATGGAACCCGTCACACAACGAGATGCAGTATGCCCTGCACCTGCGGAAAGCCATGTCGGAGGGCATCCGTGGCTTTGTGCCCCACATGATCATTGACACGGGACGCAATGGTGTTGCAGGGATGCGTTCGGATTGCGCCAACTGGTGCAACATTCGAGGCGCCGGCGTAGGTCTCGCGGCCACGACGGACACTGCCAGGCCATCTGTTGTTGATGCCTACTTCTGGCTGAAGACGCCAGGTGAATCTGATGGCTGTTCGCAGACACTTCCGGATGGAGGTTCGTGCCCGCGCTTCGATGAGGACTGTGCCTCCGTCGACAGCATCGGCTTTCGCCCGGAGGAGCCCCGCGCGCCCGAAGCTGGACAGTGGTTCGACTACCAGATCAAGCAGCTGGCCGCGAACGCGCGCCTGTATCAAGGCGGCACCACCACGGAGGCCGCTGAGACCAGCGCTGAGGCATCCACCAGTGTGCCCATTGATCCGACATCAAGTGCACCTCTTCCGTCAACCTCTGGTAAGCCTAAGGGGAACAAGAACCCCTTTAAGGACAAAGTGTTCTACGTGAATCCTTCGTACCAGGCATCCTTGTCCACCAGCATCCAGTCCTCGGAGGGTGCAATCAAGGAGACACTCGAGGCCATGGTGGATTTGCCCTCGGCATACTGGCTGGACAAGCGAGACAAGATTCACGGCAGCTCCACGGGCAGCATGGAGGGGATCCTGGAAGATGCCGCCAGCAAGCCGGTTCCAGAGCTCGTGGTCTTCATCGTGTACGACCTGCCAAACCGCGACTGCCATGCTAAGGCCTCGAACGGCGAGCTGTGCTGTAGCTACAAAGCTGATGGGCGCTGTGACTACTTGGATGTGGGCGACGGCAGCTGCAGTGCCGGCCTCAAGCAATACAAGGAGGAGTACATTGACCAGATTGCCTCAGTGCTGCGGCAGTTCTCTGGACGTGTTCCAGTGGTGCTGGTCATCGAGCCGGATTCTTTGCCGAATCTGTCAACCAACCAGGCTGACCCAAGGTGTGGAAACGTTGCAACCAAGAGCGCCTACCAGGGCGGAGTCAGCTATGCCGTCAAGGCTTTGGCTGCAGCCGATCCATATGCGGCAATCTACCTGGACGCAGGTCACGGCGGCTGGCTAGGCTGGAAGGACAACATGAAGGATTTCGTGCAGACAATCAAGGGCCTCGGGGTTTCGGATCACATCCGCGGCTTCGCCAGCAACGTCGCAGGCCCAGGCCTCAGTCGTTCGTGCGGCTGAAGCCTCATATCTTCTGAGCTTAGGCTTCTCTTCCGAAGAGGTAGGAGGCTTGTGTATACTAGACTCGGTTGTCGCCGGCAAACCGAATTCTGACGAAACACCTCTGCAGTCTGCTATGCTGCACGTTGAAGCTTCGCATGCTAAACTGCAAGGGGTGAAGTAGTCGAAGCGCCAGTCGAAGTCCGAGCAAGTGAGACAGCACTGCACTGCAGGCTATCAGTATGTGGGTGAGGTGTGTCCGACCTACGACTTCTGCCTCAACAATGCCCATCCCAACCATCCGTGCTGCAGTGACCCCTGCGGCTTGACCAGCCAATGGAACCCGTCACACAACGAGATGCAGTATGCCCTGCACCTGCGGAAAGCCATGTCGGAGGGCATCCGTGGCTTTGTGCCCCACATGATCATTGACACGGGACGCAATGGTGTTGCAGGGATGCGTTCGGATTGCGCCAACTGGTGCAACATTCGAGGCGCCGGCGTAGGTCTCGCGGCCACGACGGACACTGCCAGGCCATCTGTTGTTGATGCCTACTTCTGGCTGAAGACGCCAGGTGAATCTGATGGCTGTTCGCAGACACTTCCGGATGGAGGTTCGTGCCCGCGCTTCGATGAGGACTGTGCCTCCGTCGACAGCATCGGCTTTCGCCCGGAGGAGCCCCGCGCGCCCGAAGCTGGACAGTGGTTCGACTACCAGATCAAGCAGCTGGCCGCGAACGCGCGCCTGTATCAAGGCGGCACCACCACGGAGGCCGCTGAGACCAGCGCTGAGGCATCCACCAGTGTGCCCATTGATCCGACATCAAGTGCACCTCTTCCGTCAACCTCTGGTAAGCCTAAGGGGAACAAGAACCCCTTTAAGGACAAAGTGTTCTACGTGAATCCTTCGTACCAGGCATCCTTGTCCACCAGCATCCAGTCCTCGGAGGGTGCAATCAAGGAGACACTCGAGGCCATGGTGGATTTACCCTCGGCATACTGGCTGGACAAGCGAGACAAGATTCACGGCAGCTCCACGGGCAGCATGGAGGGGATCCTGGAAGATGCCGCCAGCAAGCCGGTTCCAGAGCTCGTGGTCTTCATCGTGTACGACCTGCCAAACCGCGACTGCCATGCTAAGGCCTCGAACGGCGAGCTGTGCTGTAGCTACAAAGCTGATGGGCGCTGTGACTACTTGGATGTGGGCGACGGCAGCTGCAGTGCCGGCCTCAAGCAATACAAGGAGGAGTACATTGACCAGATTGCCTCAGTGCTGCGGCAGTTCTCTGGACGTGTTCCAGTGGTGCTGGTCATCGAGCCGGATTCTTTGCCGAATCTGTCAACCAACCAGGCTGACCCAAGGTGTGGAAACGTTGCAACCAAGAGCGCCTACCAGGGCGGAGTCAGCTATGCCGTCAAGGCTTTGGCTGCAGCCGATCCATATGCTGCAATCTACCTGGACGCAGGTCACGGCGGCTGGCTAGGCTGGAAGGACAACATGAAGGATTTCGTGCAGACAATCAAGGGCCTCGGGGTTTCGGATCACATCCGCGGCTTCGCCAGCAACGTCGCAGGCCCAGGCCTCAGTCGCTCGTGCGGCTGAAGCCTCATATCTTCTGAGCTTAGGCTTCTCTTCCGAAGAGGTAGGAGGCTTGTGTATACTAGACTCGGTTGTCGCCGGCAAACCGAATTCTGACGAAACACCTCTGCAGTCTGCTATGCTGCACGTTGAAGCTTCGCATGCTAAACTGCAAGGGGTGAAGTAGTCGAAGCGCCAGTCGAAGTCCGAGCAAGTGAGACAGCACTGCACTGCAGGCTATCAGTATGTGGGTGAGGTGTGTCCGACCTACGACTTCTGCCTCAACAATGCCCATCCCAACCATCCGTGCTGCAGTGACCCCTGCGGCTTGACCAGCCAATGGAACCCGTCACACAACGAGATGCAGTATGCCCTGCACCTGCGGAAAGCCATGTCGGAGGGCATCCGTGGCTTTGTGCCCCACATGATCATTGACACGGGACGCAATGGTGTTGCAGGGATGCGTTCGGATTGCGCCAACTGGTGCAACATTCGAGGCGCCGGCGTAGGTCTCGCGGCCACGACGGACACTGCCAGGCCATCTGTTGTTGATGCCTACTTCTGGCTGAAGACGCCAGGTGAATCTGATGGCTGTTCGCAGACACTTCCGGATGGAGGTTCGTGCCCGCGCTTCGATGAGGACTGTGCCTCCGTCGACAGCATCGGCTTTCGCCCGGAGGAGCCCCGCGCGCCCGAAGCTGGACAGTGGTTCGACTACCAGATCAAGCAGCTGGCCGCGAACGCGCGCCTGTACTGAGGTGAGGCCTCCATGTTGACGACTGTCAGTTGTTTTAGCAACCAAGAGATTCTGGAAGCCAGATCGACAGCACAAAGTGCACTGGCCTTGGATCCTGACTTTGTCTTCAGTTGCACGCCTGATGGCTGCAAGGCAGCACCTGCACAGAATTCAGCATATCTTTTGGCAATCAGCTCAGCGCGACTTCAACAAAGAGCTTTAGAGCTCTTCGGGAGTTGGCATGCCTTCCGCACGGCGAACAGGGATGAGACCTGTTACAGGGAACAAACATGGCAGCGGTCGATGTTTTCTTGGCTGCGGTGCACTTCTAAGCACGGAGCCACTACAGTCCTTACAAGTAGAGCAGACTCAGAAAGAAGAGCGACTGCCATCTTTGTCCACCAGACCGACCTAGAAAGATGTCTTGATGAACGGCAAAGTCGAGTGTTGTCAAAATCTAAATCCCTTCCGGACAGCCTTCGTCAGCATAATTACGCAAGCCTGCCATCCGGTGATATCCGGCAGTAGGTTAGATCTGGCACTAGCACCAACGTTACGGCCTTTTCCTCTCCACTTGGCACACTTGTAAAGGAGTGTGATGTGGGCCGTTGTCCAATTTGTGCGGGGAAGGTTTGCTTGATGAGGAGCAACAGTTTCCTCAGATCCAAGCGCCCGCCGCAATTCGAGATAGCAAAAAAGGAGCCCAGTATTGTGTGCCTGCTTTGCAAGAGACTGTATCGACTGTATCTTCAGCCCTCACCACGAAACCAAGGCACGCAACGCTCGAAAAGGAGTTGCGGCTTTGGTCTCCTGAGGATGCGGCACTGCAAGCATTGCCTTGACACAATTGACATGCTAAGACTGCTAGCTGCTAAGACAAATCGAAGCTGAGAGCACGGCCAGGACCCCCAGTGCTATACAGCTCATGTCTCACTTGGTTCCCGCACAAGCTCAATCTCGGTGGAGCGACACTTCGCACGCCGATTTCTGGCCGTGCAAGAGGGCCGCCTGCTGCTCAACGGCAAGGCCCGGCGTACAGCCCAGCTCCGGTCTTTGTTCTTCACCTGTCTCAGCGGTGGTTCTGCCTCCCTGTTCGAGTTCCGGGCCCGTTGGCCATGAACCTCCATACAGAACAAATATTTGTCGGGGAAACGCCACTCATGAAGTGTATCTTCTTCGTAACGTGGAAAGCGAGCAGAAGGCAGTACACTGGCTGCCTAAGAGGCTTTGGCTTAAGACATGTCCCTCTTGGTTTTGCTTGCTTATCTCTGTTTGCTCCAGTCATGCCGCTGCCATTCAATTTTTTGGAACCCGCAGAGAAGGTTAAATCACGAGCCTTTGCCTCCGTCATTCAATATAAAGATCATCATCTCATCTTAACCCGTCTGCCCCGCCACCCAATCGGTAACCATATGCATTTTCTTGGGCATGGTTACCTGCACAGGTTTCAACCGTATGTTCTCGGGAGCGAGAATTGTACCCGCAGGCGATCTTCATCCGCTTACCTTCCACCCCACTTCCTCATCGGTAACATTGCATTTGCTTGGGGAGGAGCGTTGTATCCGCAGATTATTTGCTAAGTAGAGGAAAAATTCTTGTTCACAACGAGGCAAACGATCATGTACGACTTCTTTAGGGTTTTCGAACCCCTCCAGCTGCCCTCTCCCCTCCCCCGACCCCCAAATTTTAAATCAGATTACCCTTGAAGTTTTGTGCCACAGCACAGTCCCATGTATCTTAGTCGTGCGTAGACGTTTGCTTCAAGCTTGGCACGCGAGTTGGATGTCAAATGTCTCTCTTGAATGCTGGATCGGTGGACCACGCTTTCAAACAAATGCAGTGATTCGCGGGGTCATGTCAAGAGTCGTCATATGTTATGTTTCGTGAATGGTGTCTCCTGTTCTTTCTGTGACCCGGACGAACATCTTTCAAAAAAGGCAATGCCCAAACCTGGTTGTTTCTTTCGTAAAAACCCAATCCTACATCGTTTGGGCCGTTTGGTGTTCTGGCTATCTTTGCCGCGAGGCGGGGCGGAAATTCAACAAATCTCAGTTTGTTTGTCCTCCCCATCGAAAACTTCTGCCTTTTCTTGGGCGCCGCAGGGTTCAACTTATGCGTCTCACTTTAGTCGGTTTGGCCCGGCCTTACACGGACCAAGGCATGCCCCTGCATGCAATCCACAGTCCAGGTGATGTTCGTGCATGGGGTGCTATATCAGGCGCGGGCCATGGCCTGTATTGGCGCAAGGGAAGCACAATAGGTTGCTACATGTTGCATCATGTTGCTACAGCCAGCTGCCACCAATACGATTCTGGAGCGCATGCTTGTTAGCAGTTGGACTCAGCTGAGGGCTACTGGCCCGAGTCATTGCTCACCCCGCCGGACGTCGAGGCCGTCGGACGCGACCTTCGGATGATCAAGGCAGACACGGCCCAAAAAAAGTCAGCTGCAAAAACTGCAAAGTACAGGGCAACCTCCCCAGCGAACCCCAGGCCGCAGGCTTCAACACCATTCGCGTGCACGCGGTGGTCATGGGGGAAGCATTCTACGCCTTGTGCGACAAGCTCGGCCTTCTTGTGTGGCAGGTCATGCGCCAAACGCACGTCATTAGGGGATCGGTTTGGTGTATGACTCTGTATGACATACATTGTCTCGCCGGAGGACATGCCAGCAGGTGATATGCGTGCTATGCCAACGTGGTCGGAAGTCCGAGCCGTTGCCGAGGAAGAGAGACTTGTTCAAAGCAGACTTAAGCAAAAATCACATTGAACTACGCACAAGCAAGAGCCGTGCCCGCTCCAAGGATCGGCATGGAAGCCCAAAGGCAGGTTGGATTCGACATCCTTATGTTATGGCTGGACTGTATACCAATTACTCTGTAAGCCGAAATCCGGATGCAGGTTGAATTTGCCTGTTCGACGGGCACTCTTCGATGAGATTCGTCGGTCGCATGCCAGTCAGACGGCCTTTGAGGTTGAGCTGCAGGACAGGCCTTGCTAGTGACAGACACCGACACGCGATCTCAATCTGACAGTGCTTGCTCAGCTTTGCGCAGGCCATGGTACGTGCTTTGTCACATTTTGCTTCCGTCACAGTCTGGGTACTCTTCAACGAGGGCTGGGGCCAGTCAAACACCCAGGCCTCTTGCCTCTTGCCTCGTAGCGTGCTCTTGAAGCGATGACGAGACGTTGCACAAGCTTTTGGCACAGGCTTGGGTGGCTTTGTTGCGGCAACTTGACCCCAGTCGGCTGATTGACGCATCTGCGCTGCAAGAACATGCCCTGGCACGCTGTTCCCTCTTCACAGCATTCTGTTCTGCTAAGAGATATCATCGTTGAGGCCAACAGTGGGTGGAATGAAGTTGAAGGTCCGGCATTGGGAGATTTCGCGGATCTTCATAATTATGTGCCTCGGCGGGCCATGTCCCGAGACATGAGGAGGGCTTATTGCTGCCACCTGCACATTCACAGTTCTGTTGCGAAGGAAGATAACTCATCAATTTTCGGGCCCCTTGCAATGAGCTTTCAGAACTTTGCCGAGTGGGGCTACAACGTTGCAGGCCAAGCTGTTGGGAGGAGCGTGTCTGGGCAGGGGGTATTGGATGCAGAATTGCAAACATGTCGTAGGACAGGTCGGAAAAATCGGAGGATGCACGCTTCTGCAATCCGATGGGCCCAAACAGGAGGTGTCACCATCTCAGAGCTCTAGCCGCTATAATGATTACTCGACTGTAACTATAGTAGGGGGCTCGACATGCTCGCACAATCGAGCCACCGCAGCCTGCCGGGCACCACGGCCAGAGAAGCCTTGGTGGCAAGGCGAGATGCAAAGCGATTGCACCGGCACCGGCTTCATGGAAGCCTCGATAGCCTCAGTAGCCATTCTGGGACCCATTCTGGGCTTTTGGCTGGAGTTGCTTTGGTCACCTCACAGAGAAAGTCTGCCCGTTCCCGCGTCTTGTTGAGACTAGCTAAAATTGCCAATGAAGAGTCGGCTGAAGGTCCAGAAGCACTCGCTCCCGACTCGCGAGCAACGCTGGCTCAACAATCGGAAACGGAGTCTGGTATCGGCACAAGGCCCACTTGGCACGCCAAACTGCAGCGAGTGTGTTGCACTTGCGACTACGATACGATAGCTCGGGTTGCACTGTCCCTTGGGAGCGACGATGCAGCAGCTTTCGTTGAAGCTGTTGCGCACGAATGTGTGACACGCCACTTCAGCTTCTTCACCGAGACCCTGAGGGCATGTCGTTTGCGCGACGTGGCTCCACTCGTAAGCGTTGAGCTGTATCATTTGGTGGAGCCTTGGCTTCGAGAGCAGTGTGCCAACCATGCCGCCTGGGAAGCCGTGATCTACGCCTTAACCTTGAAGTCATTTGAAGCGAACGAATACCCAGATGAGGCTTTCAATCTCCTCAGTGAAATGGAGAGCGGGGCAGATCCCCGAATGCCAGAGCCAACAAGTGCGACATACTGCATTCTCGTCCAAGCCGTTGCTAGTAGCCGGGGCCGCATGGCTGCCAGGCAGCTGTTGTCCAGGTCAGCTTCCTTCCTGATACGTTCTGAACCTGTCATCTATTTAATGTTGGCCGCGGTGCATGCCGATGCAGACATCGACACGGCGAAGACATTTGTGCGAAAGGGTGAGATGTTGATGAGGTCTTGGAAAGGCAGCAAGGACGTGTTGCACCTCGGCTGGTCCTTTGTCGTGTCGTCGCTGGTAGGAAGGTTTGAAGGGAACCCGCCGCGACCCCTCACATGCGCAAGTCTTGGTCTGAATCCCCACAGCCCCGTTCAATGCTATAAGCCCGCCTCTTGCCTGAAGCATCGAGAAGCAGGTCGAGGATCTTCAGGGATTTTGGGCTGGTCTTGGACTCTGCACTTCCCAAATTGGATCGGACTTTGAGTGTTGGGGGCTGTTTGGGTTCCGGTCTCCAGCTCTAGTTACTCTAGTAGCTTATCCTATCGATCCTCACACTGCAGGCTCCAACCAGGTTTTCTGTACACCACATTACTTGCAGCTTATCGGCGGATGGGGCGTTTGCGAGATTGCTACACCGTTCTTGGTGTGATGCAGCAGCATAAGATCCAGCCTGACTATGTTTCCTTTGGTGTTTTGCAGCAAGCTTGCTGGGGCCATCTCGATGCAGCAATAGAGATTCGACAGCTCTTGCGCCTCATGGAGGTCATGGCAGTCACACCAACAACGATCAACTACAACGCCCTCATCAAAGCATATAGTGACACGGGGCAGCTCACGATGGCACTTCAAGTTGCCAACCGAATGCGAGAAGCTGGAGTTCCCTGGGATCAGTTCACATACCATTACTTGCTTTGTGCCGTGGTTGGTGCGGAGCAGATGCAGCTTGCGGTTCGCCTGCTTACTGGAATGCAAGGTGATGGAGTGAGACCCCGGGCCAGGCACTACATTGCTGTGTTCGTGGGTCTTGCACAGGCAGGTTTCTATGAAGATGCAGTGCGCGTGTTCGAGCGCCTGGCCTCTATGGGCGCGCAATATGCAAATCTATATGCTTACAATGTCATGATGGGCATACAGTGCCGCAGGGGTGACATGGAGTCTGCATTGCGGACGTTGAACCGGCTTCAAGAAGTGGGGATGGAAGCCAACACAATGTCCTTTCGCCTGTTGTTGGAAGGGTATGTTTTCGCAGGTGATTGGATGTCTGCTTTGGACATGCAAGCTCCACTGCTTGCATTTAGAGATCGCCTTCAGAGAATCTGTACAGACACCTCAGTGACTCAGTCGGGTCGGGAAGCTGCTGCAAAGGAGTTGCAGCAAAAAAGGCACTGGACGAAGGCATACTATCTGCTAATTGACGCAGCTCTCTGGAACGATGAGTGGGTTCGTGCTGTCAACTTGGTGAAGAACATGGTGGATCAAGGTCTTCCGGTCCACCCTGTAAGGCATGCCCGCCTGGTGCGTGACTTGCAGTTCTACGCTTCCGGTGACCAAGATGACGTGGCAGTTACTGATGTTACGTACATCCGGCTTTCGAGTTCTGAAGCCGAAGGGGGTGCCGAGCAGAAGCAAGCCCAATGGATGGCGCGTGTTCCAAACATCCCAAGGCCCGATGTCGAACTCGCTGTGCCGAGCATGGCCAGCACGGAGAAGATACCGCTTCATGTGTTGGCAGCGAGTTTCGCCCCTCACTGGGTTAATCCTGACAGGGGTTCTTTCAGTTTGGATTCCATACCTGACCTGTGCAAGAAGATGCTTGGCAAGGAGGGCCAAGAAGCCTTTCAAGCAGATCCCACGGCTGCGTATGCTCTCATTCATGCTTATTATCACACAACCGTTCACCGAAGACCCATCGTCTCAAGAGAGATCCCTGCAAGGGAGGAGATCCTTGGGCGTGCCGGCCCAGAGACCATTGAGAGCCTGCAAGAGCTCTTCGACTCACAGGGATGGCCCGGCAGAGCTTCGCATGGATATCTCTTCATGAGGCCTCACAGAGATCACCTCAGCTTGTACCCTGAGAGGCCATACTTTGTGTAGCTGTCAGCTTGTCCACCCTGTGCAGGCCGGCGTCGGCTGATCTGGATGCTTTGCTGGTGCTGCTGGGACTTGCCGCATCTCATCCTGAGTCTGTTCTCCTTCTGAAGTCTGAGGACACTGAGAACAGACGTTCTGTGGCCAACGAATGCAAAATCCGCAAATATAGGACGCTCGCAGTGACGCTGTCCTCGACGTTGTCTGCGATGCCCGTTGCCGCTCTGATCAACACCAGGCGCTGGGAAACAAAGCAGGCAGGTGAGCAGGCGTGCAAGGTTAGTCTCGCTTAGGCTTCTGGGCAGCTCTTGGAGTCTTTCCGGTGTGTGTCTATTTGGCCAAAAGCTTGCGGCAAGATGTGACATGAAGCTGACCCTGAGGATGCTGGTAGCAAGCGCAGACATGCAAACATCGTGCTCCAACTTCGAGAGCTACTTGCGGGCCGCGCTTGCTGGCACGGAAGTGCCACGGCAAAGTGAGACAGATTTGCCAGAGCCAGATGCTGAGGCGGGCCAGCACGGCACCCATAGAACTTAGACGTGCCATAGCGCAAGGCATCGGATTATTTGACTAGTCCTTGTCCCATGGATTGATTGAGAAGACGGGGACCGAATCTGCCTGGATCTAGGCACTGCCAGTTACTCAAATCCGGACGCGTAGATCCAGGCAGATTCTTTCCAAAATTCTTTGAAGACATGAAGACCAGTAACAGATGAAAAGTAAGCTTTCAACTGTGGAATTCACTGGCCACAAACGCACAACAAACCCGAAAAAAAAAACTTGCAACTGAAACAGTTGCTGGAGGTGAGTAGCCTTACAGCGTGAGCTCAGGGAGTCAAACAGCTCAAGGCCAAAGGTGCAAAGAGTACCTGCCCGGGGGGCAAAAATGACCCGCAGTCCAAAAAAAGAGCCATGGGCGGGGGGAAAGGGGACCACAACAGACGGCACGGAAACCCTGCGACGGGGCCTAGAAAGACCCTGTGGAGGGTAGGGAAGGGTTATTTAGAGAGGGGCCAGAAGGACGAAACTGGGCCCGCGGGGTTCGAAGAGGAACGGCGCTTTGAACTGTCTGTTTTGCGAAAAGACCCCAAGATGCCCAATAGGGAACTTCCAAGAGGAAGGGCGTTTTGCATTTGTCTGCCCTGAGAAAAGGCCCCAAGATGCCCAAGAGGGAACTTCGAAGAGGAACGGCGCTTTGAATTGCCTGCTTTGCGCAACAAACCCCAAAATACCCAATAGGGAACTTCGAAGAGGAACGGCGTTTTGAATCTGTCTGCTTTGCGAGAAAGCCCCAAGATGCCCAATAGGGAGCTTCGAAGAGGAAGGACGTTTTGAACTGTCTGTTCTGCGAAAAGGCCCCAAGACTCCCAATAGGGATCTTCGAAGAGGAACGGCGTTTTGAACGGTGTGCTCTGCGAAAAGGCCCCAAGATGCCCAATAGAGAACTTCGAAGAGGAAGGACGTTTTGAACTGTCTGTTCTGCGAAAAGGCCCCAAGACTCCCAATAGGGATCTTCGAAGAGGAACGGCGTTTTGAACGGTGTGCTCTGCGAAAAGGCCCCAAGATGCCCAATAGAGAACTTCGAAGAGGAAGGACGTTTTGAACTGTCTGTTCTGCGAAAAGGCCCCAAGACTCCCAATAGGGATCTTCGAAGAGGAACGGCGTTTTGAACTGTGTGCTCTGCGAAAAGGCCCCAAGATGCCCAATAGAGAACTTCGAAGAGGAAGGACGTTTTGAACTGTTTGTTCTGCGAAAAGGCCCCAAGACTCCCAATAGGGATCTTCGAAGAGGAACGGCGTTTTGAACGGTGTGCTCTGCGAAAAGGCCCCAAGATGCCCAATAGAGAACTTCGAAGAGGAAGGACGTTTTGAACTGTCTGTTCTGCGAAAAGGCCCCAAGACTCCCAATAGGGATCTTCGAAGAGGAACGGCGTTTTGAACGGTGTGCTCTGCGAAAAGGCCCCAAGATGCCCAATAGAGAACTTCGAAGAGGAAGGACGTTTTGAACTGTCTGTTCTGCGAAAAGGCCCCAAGACTCCCAATAGGGATCTTCGAAGAGGAACGGCGTTTTGAACGGTGTGCTCTGCGAAAAGGCCCCAAGATGCCCAATAGAGAACTTCGAAGAGGAAGGACGTTTTGAACTGTCTGTTCTGCGAAAAGGCCCCAAGACTCCCAATAGGGATCTTCGAAGAGGAACGGCGTTTTGAACGGTTTTGAACGGTGTGCTCTGCGAAAAGGCCCCAAGATGCCCAATAGAGAACTTCGAAGAGGAAGGACGTTTTGAACTGTCTGTTCTGCGAAAAGGCCCCAAAATGCCCAGTAGGGAACTTCCAAGAGGAAGGGCGTTCTGAATTGTTTGCTTTGCGAAAAGGCCCCAAGATGCCCAATAGAGAACTTCGAAGAGGAAGGACGTTTTGAACTGTCTGTTCTGCGAAAAGGCCCCAAGACTCCCAATAGGGATCTTCGAAGAGGAACGGCGTTTTGAACGGTGTGCTCTGCGAAAAGGTCCCAAGATGCCCAATAGAGAACTTCGAAGAGGAAGGACGTTTTGAACTGTCTGTTCTGCGAAAAGGCCCCAAGACTCCCAATAGGGATCTTCGAAGAGGAACGGCGTTTTGAACGGTGTGCTCTGCGAAAAGGCCCCAAGATGCCCAATAGAGAACTTCGAAGAGGAAGGACGTTTTGAACTGTCTGTTCTGCGAAAAGGCCCCAAGACTCCCAATAGGGATCTTCGAAGAGGAACGGCGTTTTGAACGGTGTGCTCTGCGAAAAGGCCCCAAGATGCCCAATAGAGAACTTCGAAGAGGAAGGACGTTTTGAACTGTTTGTTCTGCGAAAAGGCCCCAAAATGCCCAGTAGGGAACTTCCAAGAGGAAGGGCGTTCTGAATTGTTTGCTTTGCGAAAAGGCCCCAAGATGCCCAATAGAGAACTTCGAAGAGGAAGGGCGTTTTGAACTGTCTGTTCTGCGAAAAGGCCCCAAGACTCCCAATAGGGATCTTCGAAGAGGAACGGCGTTTTGAACGGTGTGCTCTGCGAAAAGGCCCCAACATGCCCAATAGAGAACTTCGAAGAGGAAGGGCGTTTTGAACTGTTCGCTCTGCGAAAAGGCCCCAAAATGCCCAGTAGGGAACTTCCAAGAGGAAGGGCGTTCTGAATTGTTTGCTTTGCGAAAAGGCCCCAAGATGCCCAATAGAGAACTTCGAAGAGGAAGGGCGTTTTGAACTGTTTGCTCTGCGAAAAGGCCCCAAAATGCCCAGTAGGCAACTTCGAAGAGGACGGACGTTTTGAACTGTCTGCTTCGCGAAAAAGCCCCAAGATGCCAAATTGTAAACTTCGAAGAGGAAGGGCGTTTTGAACTGTCTGCTCTGCGAGAATGCCCCAAGATGGCCAATAGGGCCAAGGTTTTATTTCAAAGCACATGGAGGGGGGGGGGTGCGCCCCCCCCAACCCCCTGCTGCATCAAGGCATGAAGCCGTGCAAGCTTGCTTGAAAGCCTATGAGTTTGAGACCCATCCTTCGAGCATTGTCCTTGCAGATGGTACATGGAGAAGTCGCTTCGGTGTGGGGGGGAGGGGCGCCAAACCACCCCAAACCTGGACAGTGTGTTTCATGTGAGCTGACTTTGCAGAGCTTGTTCAGCTTAATGACAAACAATTTCAGAATAGTGGGTGCTCTCATGATGCTAGAGTCGCTGTAAAACGTGCACTGGCCAACGGCATTTGCCAGCAGCCACCCCAGTTGCAACCCACTCGGCAAGACAAGCAGCGTGCTTGAATGTGCGAAGTAAAGCACGTCAGATCTGTCAACCAGGATTCTTGGAGAACAGCAGGAAACGTGCAAAATCTACTGCAACCCCATTCCGCGCCTGGGCCCTGAGGGAACGGCATTGCATCTCAGAACCCTTCCAAAGCAAGGCCTCAATGATCTGACAATAGTCTGAAGCTCTGCCCGGCACCTTCAAACATCTTCATTCTAAACATCATGTTTTAACTTGTCAACAATTCCTGCGTCGACACCAGAATGTGCGTCGCATCCTTAATGGAAGTGAGTGCCTGAGCTGCCTGTCCCAAAGCCCTGATCCTGCGTTGGGCCACGACAACTTTGCAGCTTCTCATGCTTTCGATGGTCGAATGGTTTTTTAGTGCATCTAAAAAACCGTGCACAGAATGGTATGTAAGCATTTGCGGTACCAGCCTGGTGTCGTGACTTGTAGTCACGAATTACTTGTATTTTCTTGCTGCCTTTTGTCCGACGGCTAGGAGGTTCTAGCAAGGGCACAACGATAAACACGAGGAGCTTTCTTGCGACTAGGCGTATCTCCACGGCGAGCCGCAACCCTTAGCCACGAGAACGGCCCCCACATGCAAGCTCCCGTGTTAGGGTCCACTCAGGATACCACTCTGCATTCCCACATTGGTCCGAGTGCGGCAGAACCGTAAACAGCTGACGTCTGTCAGGTCCAGCACCAGCACCAGCACCAGCAGCAGCAGCAGCAGCAGCAGCAACACCCACATAAAGAATCAGTCATCACCTGACGTGCGTATGCCGCACGTGCCAGAACCTCGAGTACAGAGAATGTGCATTTAAAATAGCATCAATGAACTCAAACCTCTTTATATGCTAGAGCGAAAAGTCGAGTTGGGGTTGTTGAAAGTTCCATCTTGCGTGAAGTCGTCATCACTTTTTGTGTGGTTTGATGACTGCATGTTGCCGCCTGCTTCATGTTTCTACCAGAACATGGCTTCGTTCCTTCTGTCAGAATTCTGTAGCGGCTTCGGTCTTGAAGCCCAAGACCGCCCGAGATAATTTGTAAGCCATATACAGTAGTCTGCACAGGCTGATGGCTCGGAGAATTTCTCCTGGTCTGTTTGGCTGCAGCGGCAACGCTTAGACAAGCTGCTACGGCACGACGGTCGGGCGCTCCGAGTTGATGCCACCCGAGTGCGGCCACTGCAAGTGGAACAGAGCGACTTCCGTCTGCGTGGCCAGCAAAACAACCAGGCAAGCAGGGCCTTGAATTGATAGGGGTACTGAGTACTGTAGGTACAGTAGGTACTACCTGGAAGTACTGGGAGGCCTCCATTACTGTTGACTGCCCTAAGGTAGAGATCGTGCTTTGATGCAGATGAAAGAGCTCGTACCTGGATGTGCCCAAGAAGCGCAATGAGCTACGCTTTGCATCGCTTCGCGCCATGCCCAAGAGCTCCGAAGCACCGTGAGGCACCACGAGGTGGCTTGACATGCGGCCGAGAGATAGCCGCCGGGATTGCAAGCAGGGCAAGAAAGGCGGCCGAGCAAGCGGATCAGCGACAGCATGCGACTTTGTGAAGAAGAAGATGGCTTCACAGAGACGGACCTCACCGCAGTTCGCCTCGGAAACGAGCGAACAGCACGCGCTCATCTTGGAGAGTCAGCACGACAAGATCCGTCGCTCATTTGTGCGGCAAGGTTCTCTCTCCTTGTCCACATCGAGAAGCCAACCATTCGTGAGCTTCGATGGGTGTTGGGCCTTTGCATCCTTTGCACCTCGACAGGTTCACATGGGAGCAGGCGTGACACGTCCGCCTCAGCGGAAAATCGTCCGCAGCCATTGCTTCAATGTTGTGCAGCGCTTGCCTTCTTGCAAAATTACACCGGCAGATACTGTTTGTGCTGGCTGCGTACACAGCAATGCCATGTTTTTCTTGTTTTGGCTTTGGCAGGTCGGGTCCCAGCTCTAGGTGAGTATGGTGGCGTGGGATACGCAGTGGAGGGCCATCGCTGGTCGTCCCACGGCGCATGGGGATATGGTGAGAAGCAGGTCAACCACCGCCAGGACGCTTGTAAAAGTCTTGTAAAGCAGGACTGCAGTGTGCGCAGCTGTTATCAGCTGTTTGGCTGTTTCTTGTGTGGTTTGCGATTGAAGTCATAAGCTGGCGTACGAGTAAGGATGTTTATGCAACTGCTTTGGAGAAGCTGCTTCTGCGACTGCTTCCATGCATTTGTACCTTGGGTATGGGAGGCTTTTGCTGAGGCACAAGGCATTTACTGCTCAAGGGTCGGCTAGAACTCGACCTGCAAGCTCAGGCAACGGCTTGGGCGCCGCAATCTACACTCAATGGAATGATGTTGAGACGGAAGTGAATGGCCTGCTCACTTATGACCGTCGGCTTGCTGCAATGGAGTTAGGCAAGCCCGAGGAAGTTGAGCATGACTTGAGCATGCCTCTGCTGCTAAGTTTACGCCAAGTTTACGCCTCCTTGTGCCAAGGCCAGCTGAAACTCCCACTGGAGTTTTACCAAGAGTTCTCCCGACTAGTGCGGGAATCTGCACGCAAATGCATGTCTGCGACAGAGCTGCAGTCCAGTGAATGTCCAGTTCCGGTATCTGAGAACTGGAAGCCAGAAAGGCAGTTCTGAAGCAAGGCGCCCGACGAGATGGTCAGCGGACTAGTCAGCTGAAAGAGGTCCTCCTTCTGCGGTGGGGAAAAAGAGCCAGAGGGGATGTGCCTGAATCTAGCAATCCATGTCGCAATCATGATGGTACCAAAGAACGATGATACGGGCCGTAAACGATGAATACGAATAAAAATAACAACATTCCCGAAAGCTAGCATAGCTAGGCTTTGCCTAGTTGCTTTAGCAAGGGAACCGGTCAACCCGTTGGAGTTGCGTCCCACTTGATTTTCTTGGCAAAAAGGTGGGGGGGGGGGGGTGTCATGGGGCGGGGAGCGCGAATTCTCTGAAGTTTCGGAGAGCTCCGCGGATCTGGATCGATCGCGGTCTCCGTGAGCGCATGAGTAGGCCATAAATAAAAGACAATTCGGTCTAGGCCAATCTATAAGACATGCGGGCTGTAGACGAACAACAAGACGGCCAATCATACTCATAATCATAATAATCATTTGTGTAACGAGAAGCTGCGCCTCGATCGTCACCAGCAACACCCTTGGAAGAACGTCGTCAGGTCCGGAGCAAGACAACCAGGCAAGGCCTTCATGATCCTGTGTCGAATTGTGTCGAAGCGCCATCCCCACAAGCTTTTGCATTCTATCAGCCACTTGATATCTCTCGGCACTTTGAGGAGAAAGTGTGGGCTGCAATGGAGACCGCCGCAAGGCTCGGTCAGCCAATGTGCGCGGGGTCCCCAGAGTCCTCAGTACACCACAGAAACAGGCATAGCAGAACGTGTGCTAACGTGTGCTAGCAAAGGCCAGCTGCCAGGGCAAGAAGAAAAGCAAGTCACGAGGGGGAGAAGAGGGAGGTGTGCGGCTATGTGCTTGGCTTTCTGCATCCGCAAGACGTTCGCGAACAGCTTGTTGTTGGCCAAAGGGGGAATTCTCGGAAACCTGTGGAACATCGGCAACGCATGGGCATCGGGATCAGAGCAGGCGATTGCAACGGAACATCATCTGAGCAGCAAAGTTCGCAGCATTGGCATTGCTTGCTGGCATGTGCTGGTGCATGTTGTAGGTCGCAGAGAATAACTGGGATGATGAGAGCGAGTATCAGGAGCCTGAGGGGGAAGCTTGCAATACTGACAGGAGCGTGGGAAGGTTCGAGCGGATTTCAGGCTGTAACGATAAGGTGAGAAGGAGTGGATGAGGTGTCGGACTCCGGGAGGGTTCGGCCTCAAATGACACGGGTGAGCAGCAGAGCCCCGAGGAAGATCAAATCGATGAGGTGACTGGCTTGGTTGGGGCGCACTGCTCCGCGGCTTGCGCTTCAGGCTTTAGGGAACGCGGGAAGCCTCTTACAAAAAGGGCGGGGGCTCCTTGGTAACCTTGGCAGTGGCTAGTCTCGTTAGCGGAGAGTCTAGCCGGGCCTAGCCTAGATTAACATTGCTGGAAAACCTCGGTGTCTCACAGGGCACACAGTTTGCACGGGCTCCCCCCACATCCCACCCCCGCCGAACCTGAGCAAAACCAAGGCTACACAGTCTTGGCAGCCATCGAGGCATAGCCACTCCGATGGCAGGAAGGTCCCGTGTTTTCACGCTGGCAGGTTGCTGCTGACAGTGGGAAAAGCTGGTTCCGCAAAGAGCCAGCCGCCCGTCCACAGCATTTCCGAGCGCATATGATCGCATGCAAGTCCGACCTTACAAGCCCTGAAAAGTGGGCTGCAGGCGCTGGGTTCGATTGAGGAATCCTTGGGGGCTTCGGCCTGAGAATGCCTGAGACGTGCTGTGCGATGATCCTGCGTGGCAGATTCAAGATTCAGGACTGGTCGATGGAAGGGTCCCACGCCTGTACCTTAGATTCAAGCTCGTGTCAAGCATGCAAAAGCAGCAGCAGGGGCATGTGCTCGGAAAGGCCCAAATCTAGCATGCTGCCCTTCAGCGCGGCAGTTTTCGACTGTGTAGGGGAGAAGGCCACACCTGAAGTGTCTTCTTTTTGGGGCATCGAAGGCAGGGGGGCGTGGGCTTACTGTATGCAGAATGCGCAGGTTCGGCGAGGAAGTGGCCAAAGTGACAATAAGGAGGCACAGGCAAGCAGACGTGCCGCTGCTGAATATTCCAGGCCCTTTCTTGTGCTTAGCCCCCAGCGCAGGATGGCTTGCAGGGGCCAATGGCAGAAACGGATCCAGGAACCTTTTGGATGCAGCTGGTGCCAGCCTGACTCTGTCACTAGATGTTTGTATGGGGTATCTCAGTATCTCCCATTCTTGCCAAGGCTGACTTCGCCGACGAGTTTGCCACTGTGTGTGTCTCCGAGTATCGCACCACGGTAGCAAATTGCCACCGCAGTAGGAGCCTGCCGCGCGATCCAGCTAAACGTATCAGGCACAGCATGCACTTGGCCTCAGGTCCTGGATACATTTCCAGCGTGTTTCCTTTGAAGCCCAAGCAGATGTTGAACGGAGCACCAACACAGGCTCATGCAGATCACCACTGGCGCCGCTGATCAGATGCTTTCTTCGCCCCTGCTCATTTGGGATCTCTTTGCTAGGTTTGTGCTACTTTGCAGCTGCTGGCAGATGCCGAGCGCACGCACTTGGGCGACTTGAAGCCCATACATGTCGCCGTCCTGTGTGTCATGTGCTGTTCCCATGGTGTGCCGTGCCTTCTGCAAGAAGCCTGAAACTTTGAGAACCCTTGCAGGTCGTGGTTTCTGTGCTGCAAGACTCTGATGAGCCCTTCAGCCGGCCTAAGCAAAGGAAGTTTTCATCCGCTCGCATCGAGGTGCTTGAGCCGCTTGGCACAATGAAGTTAAGTTGAAACGCCAGGTTTGTTGAGCAGAATTTGAAGCCGGACCGGATCGGGGGTGAGCCGATTTTGTTCGCGGTGGGACTTGTTCTGTGCTGGAGCTGCACCAACTCTCTGCAAGGTCGGGACGAAGCCAAGGGAGCCGACACGTCGCCTCATCAAGTTTCGGTTTGCAGCGTGAGGTTCTATTGCCAGTGGAGCTGAAAGCAGGTGGGGCCATGTTGGACTGCTCGTATTCTGAGCATGGCAGAGAGAATCAGAGCCATCGGTGTCTCCTTGAATTGGGGCGTTTGGCTGCAAGGGCTCAGCACCCCACACCCTGACGAGGTGCTCAGTACTTGGTCATCGTCCATTGGTTGCAGGCATCGCCAGTGAGGAGTTGGAATCGTGAGGCTACATTGCGAGCCCTTCGCCAAACAAGAACAGGTTTACATGTTGTCACTTTGACCTTTTCCTTTTGTCGCATAGCTTCCATGGAAAATGTCGGGAAGGCGGGGATGAGACGGCTGAGGTCTACGCGCCGTGTCCTGCAAGGCTTGGGCCCGGGCCGATGGAAATGGAAGCCCAGCGAGAGGCTTACGAGGCAGCAGCCATGGGACCGCGAGGCTCTTGCCTGAAGGAAACACAAGGCCCGAGGGTCGAGGAATGTCGAAGAGACAAAAACATGATGCAAACAAGAGAGAAGCAAGCTTAAGTCGTTTCAGTAGTTTTGCAGCGTCATGCAGCCCCACAGGATTTTTGTTGCATCTCTGCTGTTGAAGGTGCCCAACTTCGCTGCTGGAGTGACCGCGAATCTGGGACCATTGCCCTTTGCTTTGATGCCTCCGATGCGCCAGCTGGGCTACTGGCCTCGCTGACGTGGACTCTGCAGCCCCCTGACAGCATTTGAGAACGGCCCGCTGCACGGAGCAAGCATGTCAAGTCGAGGAATTCAGTGCTTCAGCCGCGCTTTCCCGGCTGGGAGGGCAGCGTGACAGCAGCCGGTGAAGAGCAGCACGTGCAGGTTGTGGACTTGAAGCCCGGACAGCGCGCCTTGTATGCACAGATGGCAAAGACTTGCATAGACTCTGGCCAAGCACAGGTGCCAAGCACAGGTGCCAGCACCAAATGTTCCCCAGGTCAGCTCACGGTCGTATCATGGCTGGATCCCTCCAAAGCCTTTTCGGCCACTTACTCTTGGCAAGCAACTGCAGATCCATGCAACCAGCCTGCACGTGGGATGCTTTAGACTTTGTTTGCTGATGGGTTTTGCATGGTTTGCGCTGTTACTTTATATGGCACTGTGAGAAAGGTTCGCAGTGCAATGCTCCCGTTGGGACCAACGTGCCGATTGCTGAGTTCCAGATGCAATCGATCATTCTTATAAGAATGCTAATTCACTAATACCACTGCTGAATGCTACAGTACTGTTGAATATTGCTCCAGATACGGTGCCGTACTGCACAGTTAACGAACAGCAAGTGGCAAGGCCGGGCCGCTTCTCTGGTGCCTATAGGGTGTTGGGCCCGAGTGATCTTGGGGGGCCAGCGACTCTTCACGAGGAGCTGCATGGTATGCCAACATGATTTCTGCCGACATGTCGAGACTTCATTGGCTGTATTTCGGGATGCCCGAATTTGGGAAAACAGTCACGTCGGTCTGAGGAGTGCTTCGAAAAGTTTATGCTGCAAGGCACTCAATGAAGCGGTGCGAGCTGGGCTGTGCGGACTCGCTATGTGGTGGGGTTCTGTAGCCGGATGCAACCAGACTGAGGCGAGTTGCCCCACGCTGCCTGCAATGCTCTGAAGCCATAGTGCAAGTGCAGGGCCGATTTGCAGGTATCCGGATCTCTCACTACACCATGGCTATGTTGCTTGCCTGCATACGTCATGTGCAGGCCAATACTTCGCGTATTCCGCGAACCAGCTTGGAAGTCATCCAGCAGGCCGGCATCGGCATGCTCAATTGTTGTTGGCTTTGTCTGGACATGTCAGCACTAGCAATGTGTACTCCGGGTTTGGCAACCACATCAACCCTGTCGGAGCCTGCTCCTGCCCGACAGGCTTGATTTTCTTGGCCCCCTTGTGCATTCTGCTCCAGCAATCTTTGTTTTCAAGGGGGCGTGCGAACAAAGACTGTTATGTTTACTGTCATTGTTACTAATGACTCTTAGGTAGTTGGCCAATGGGGCCCCTCCCACCCCCACGCACACGCGTTAAAGCTCCGCAAGCTTGGGGCTGCGAGAACACACCGCTATTCTTTGCCTAACGAACAGCATTTGGTGGTGAATCACAACTGCTGCAATTCACAACACGAGTCACGATGCTCAGTATTTGTATCAACACTGGTACGTTCAAGGCCTCATGTCGAGTCACGGGCCTCAAGCCTGATGAGATCTGGTCCTACTTCATCCACAGAATGTTTTCCCAAGTGAAAAACACATCAAACATTCATCTGATGCCTAGTTCGTCGCTGCCGTTTGCCGTAACGAGGAGTGTTCGCCGTGGTTCGGGATTTTGTGGCAGCTTTCGGGTCGCAGGTCAGGTGCACGCGGAGTGCAACGATGCATTTCGGAGCAAGTTTGCTAAGCCTGTGCCTTAGACTCGTAGACATTCTCTGAAGGTACGGCATGATCCTGCCTGCATATTTATGTATATTATACGTTTTCAAGCTTCTCCTGTCTCATCCCCCGAATAGCATGCCCCCTGCCCAGATCCCTTTCACTCGTCTAAGGACATGTTTGCACTGTCGCGAGCAAGCGTCTCAGCACTATCAGGGTTACCGCAGCACGGACAAATTTGTGTTCCCGGTTGGCACCGTGTCCTTCGCAACATGTGCTGACAGGCCAGTGATGCAACTAGCCGGGAAGTTCAGCGGGAAGCACTTCAACTACAAGGCGGGCTGGGCAGCTAGGAGCATCCTGAAGCAGCTTCTCACCTGCATGGGCGTCCACCCAGAGAGGGAATCAAAATACAAATCAAACAGCATCGTCACGAATCCGAGTACCTAACATAAAAAAGCAGACCCCTGGAACAATAAATTGGGGGGCGGTATGGGAGGAACGCGTGGTTCTTGTTCATTGTTGTGGCTCGCGGGCACAGCCAAAACACGAAAACCAGCAGCAGCAAAAAAGTCGGTGCACCCCAAACACCTGCGCATCAGTGACTTTCTGTGTTTTTTGGAACAAAGGCCCGAGCCACCTGCATGCCGAGCATGGTGCAGACACACGAACCTCCCCATCCAGAGGCTCGACGACTCCGCAACACTGCTACCAGTCAGTACTTGTTAAAAACTCGCCCTGAAAAGAGCGCGGACGTTTACACGGTGGCTATGGGCAACGATATGATTTTGTGCCGAGGGCAGCTTGTTTACTTTTCCTGCCGACCTCAAAAGCCCACACTTGTCCATGCAATGCTAGGCGAGATGCAACAACAAAAGGCAGCCGTGCTTTCGAGGATTAGGAACTGGGGTTTTGGTCTTTGGGAATCAGAACCTTCCCATCCCAAACAACTCCATGTTGCCCCCTGGGCCTTATTGTCTAACTGTTGATTATGCTCGCACTCATTGCATCGGGGGGATGAGTGTTACTCCACGTCAGCTGATCCGGAGATATTCAGCATCAGTGTCACTTCATGTTGTTGCACATGCCATGGTAGAGCATGTACGATTCTTAACAAATAACTGTTGGCGATGCATAGAGTGGTCATTGAAGTCGTGCTGCTCAGATTCGAGTTTAGAGCACAGGCAACTTTGAACAGTATGGAGTAATGAAACTGCCAAATCTGTGCATTGGACGGCATCGCTCTGTAGGATGAACATTTTGGGCAGCACGGTGCGGTTCTTGGTCAGAATGGTTCACAGGGCACAGAACGAAATGAAGTGAGAGCTACATGCAGAGCTTGAGGCGGTGGGCCTGTCCACGAGGCGCCTCTCTCTCTCTCTCTCTCTCTCTTTCTCCCTTTCTCTCCGTCTCTCACTCTCACTCTCTCACTCACTCTTTCTTTTTCTTGTTCTGCACCACTGACAGCGTAATGCCGGGGCGGACACGCGTCCCGCCGCAGGAATGTCACTTGTCCTTCTTGCGGAAGTGGGCGCCAGCTTGCCTGCGATGCAAGGACGGTGAGCGTCCATTATAAACCGCTACGCAGTCTGATGCTGGATGGCTGAGTAGCATCTCAATTTCAGTGCGTATTCTGCTTCAACACGCATCGATGTGCTATGCCACCTTCAAAAGGAGCCTTTGGTGCCATTGCAAGGGAGGTTGCGGCCCGAGACATGGCTGCGCTACAGCAGCTTGAGCTGCCGGCTGGAAGTGGCAAGGAAGCTGCTAGGCTGCTGCATTGTGAAGGTTCAGCGGCAAGGTCCTGATGCTCACAGGCTGGGCTTAGAGATGCTTAGAAACTCTTGAACAGCATTGAGCATTTGCACTGCTGATCCATTGTGACTGCCCCATTTGCATGTTTGACTTTCGAATCTTGCAGGTGCGTCGGGCACACTTCAGGCCAGCACACCGGTTTGGTCAGAATATCCACCTAGGGCCTAGGACCGTCAGCACAGCGTTTGTCGCCAGGGCGCCGTTCATGAAGAGTGTCAATGAAGTGAGCCAGAGTCAATCCACAACCAGCTGCATAGAATGCAATCGCAGCACCGCGATGCCAATCAGATCTATGACTATTCCGACTATTCCCCAAATAGGAGGGAGGCAGGGTCTTGAGTCTTGCACCCTTTGGCCGGGAATGGCAACGACTTCCTACTGCTAAGCAGCGGGGGGTTAGTAGATAATGAGCCTGGGACACCTGCGCCGGCAAACCGGCAACGCGTCCAAGTTTTAAAAGAATTGTTGGCGGATCGTGGAAGCGAAGCGCGAGTGCACTTTTGGTATGGCATGACTGCGCAAGTGAATCCAGGAGTACTGGCGTGAGCTCATCTCAAGGGTCCCGAGCTTGTTGCGAACATTGACTTGGGAGTCCTGTGGAAAGTGCTTGCCACGCATGCTGTGCGCCATCTGAGTGGCCATGTGTGGCCTGAGTTGTTCAAAGGTGTTCTCCCCGAGATCCGAGGAGTTGTGCTCGGATTTGTATCCAATCGCTTTGAGATGCTTTTTAAGTGGATCTTACGTGGATCTTTGTGACCTAGGTTGCGCGAGACGCAACTGAAGGAGCGACTGAACACAGCTCCTCGCCTGCAGTGGTGATCAAGCAGGGCTCACTTTGTGCAGTGTCAGTGTTGCTCTTCGCCTTGTCAGGCAAGACAGCTGCGCAAGGCTGTAGAGCAACAGTTTCAGGCTCGATTTCACCACAACGTTTTTGAATGCTCTTGATTCGTCCCTGATACTTGGGGCACAAGCCCAGAACTAAAGCTCCAAAGATTTGCTTGGTGATCTGATTTCACGAGCCGACAAGAGCAGCGAGGCAAAGCCAAAGCCAGCCACCAAAGAATGGGCCGGTGAGCTACTCAGAGAAGCTTGTTCAGAGTCACCTTAGCAACCTTAGCAACGGCTAGTTCATCGGAGCCAGAACACCTCGATCATTACTCACTAGGTACCGGAGTCGCTCAGAAACTGCGCAAGAGGGTGCCTCGCCCAGATTCGCTGTGAGTATCAGAAGTTGAGAACATCTTCAATCCGGTACGAATCCAAAAGGATCGGGTACAAATAGGAGGCTCAGTTCCGGCATCTCCAAGGTCGTTGCATCGGAAAATCTCGCTCGTCTACTGGCGCAGCGCATTGAAGGACACGTCCATAAGAGGATCTTGTAGCAACAGCCAAGATGCAGCCAAGTTGTTCCAATGTGGTAGCATGGGCGAGCCCTTGGTTTACAACGAAGCCTACCGGCATGTCAGCTCAATCCTTTGCTCTGACTGAGAAGAGCATGTACTTCCCTTTTGCTCAGATTTGTCAGGGGCGAGACAGAGCAGGAGATGCTGCAGGCCAGTCTTGAGGCAAAAAAGGCGAAGGAGGGAAGAAGAGCGGAGGAACGTGGCTCACCATTGACCACCCAGCACATCGAAGGACACAGGAGCAGTTTCGACACCTCCCGCCGAACGCCTGCAGGTGAGCAACAGCGGCACCCCAGAGGATCCCAAGCAGGAGGTCTGAGCAGGAGACAAGCAAGAGTTCTTGCGGGAGCTGCAAGGCCAACCCAAAGCCTCGTCGACAACTCCACCCTGCAAAAGAGGCCGCCGACAGCCCCTGTGAAGCATGAAGAAGACGCGGGGCCTCACCGCCTCATCCCATTACACGAAAGCAGTCTGGGATGGAATGGCAATGACCACGCACAAGTGGTCAAACGACGCTGGTGGCAAGTTGCTGAAGACACACTCCATGCAGAGTCCTCTTTGGTCGAAGCTGCCTATCGACATCGACCCCTTGGCCCTGATTCCAGAAGCCAGGAGATCACCCCTCTGCGAATCACTGGACCAAATCCCGGGACTAAGGGACTTTCCCATCTGCTAGGGCGACAGCACCCTCTTGCGCCACTCCCCAACGACAATCGGCATGACCATTGTTACATGCGCCGATGTGCCTGCATCATGTGGACGAAGGGCGTCCCGAGCTCTCAAAGGCTCAAATCATGAGTGGATTACGTTGCTTTCTGGCAACTGTGATTGCTCTTGGGTGCAGGCACACTGTACTTCACATTCATTTGCACAGGAGGTTCCCTCATCAAGGGTCACATTCTACTGGTACACATCAAGTTGTGACCCTTGCAATCCAGCATTTACTCGCAACAGTGCCAGAGACACTCGCCACGCAGACAGTGTATGCGCAGTTTCTATGATGTTCAATTTGAGGGGCCTGGGCGTTCCCTCGGCACACGGTGCGCGCCTTTGGGTCGCCTTGTGTGTATCCTTTGTGCATGGAGCTTCGCTCCCTCGGCACTGGCCGCCCTAGCTACTCTTTGCGTCTGCCGATTACTTGCTGTGTTCTTTGGTGCATACAAGCTTTATCCATGATCACGGGCCAGGTCTCTCCGATTCTTGGTTTTGAATTATGTACCCTAGCATTCTACATTGTGACCTGTTTGCACTATCTAGTTTTTCCCCCACCTGAACTCTGGGACAGAGGGAGGCGATGACGCTTGCGGAGCCCCCTGAGATGTTGAGAGGGACGTGGGAGGTAGGCCACCTCACTCACACAGGTCTTTCTGGAGACAAGCCGTGTAAGCCTGGTGCACTGCCTCACACTGCAAAAAACCAGACGAGGAGCCAACATTCGTCAAGGTGAGCAAGTCCTCCTGGCGGACAGATGTGCGGATACCGGCGCAGTGTCTTGCAGCTCACCTGGGCGATAACGGGGCTTCGACCGATATCAAGAACTTGGTGCTGGACATGAGGGCGCGGGAGCGCAACCTTGCAAAGGGCCATGCCCAAGCGCAGCACGTGGAAGTTTGCCAGCCCTGCCTGCTTCCTGACATCGTGGCAGCGATGGACGACTTCGTCAGTAGATCTTGGCGAACACAACGGCCGGCGTCACTGGCAAGACATAGGCGCGAGGCGCTCAAGCCAAAGCTGCCCCAACGCTGTGAGGACCTCCGAGCCTTGTAGCGTACTAGTAGCATAATGCTTGGTGTACAATCACCAACAACCACGCTTTGCCAACAGAGCCACGCTGCGGGCGGATCCGTGGAATGGCTTCGCTGGGTCCGTGGCCGTCCCCATCTCCCTTTGACGAAGAACCTACGGAAAACTTACTCGTCCCATCTCCAGTGGCCGCAACTCTTCGTCATGTCCTCCAGTCTCACTGAGACCCAAGCCGAGGAGACCCGAGCCAAGGTCATGCCGAAGCCCAAAAAGAGGCCCTTGAAGCCCAAGAAGCGCCCCTCCGCCATGGCTAAGGCGAGGCTTCTGCGGAGATTCGCAGCCGACATCGTGAGATGCCCTTTGCATGTTGCAGAGAGATTTTGACAAACATGTCTCACTGCTGCATGCAGTCCAGAGCACTTCAACTGCAAGAGCACTGTGACGGCCGCAAAAAAAAACTCAGTAATAAGACGGAAGACCACGCCGAGAGAACCTCCCCAAGTCTAAACCTGAGACTATGTGCAGAGGAACGGAGCTGCTGATAAGAAGAGCCGGGGCCTTCAGCGCCGTGAGGTGATAGCATGGGGCTACCAGGCTACCAGAACCAAAAGACAGCTTCACTGCCCAGGTGAATCTGACTTTCTCCCTTCTGACACGGGAGCAGGAGTCGCGGGGATCCCAGAAGAGAGTCAGGCAGTTGCAGACATCTCGGCTAAGCGGTCCTGCGGAAAGCCATACGGCGCCGAGTGATCTGCACAGGTTGAAACCTCCCATGGAGGTTTGCGAAAGGAGGCGCCAGATTCGAGCCCAAACAACTCGGTGTCTCCTGAAAAGTGAAGAGTGTTCAAGAAGTCTGTCGTGCCTGGTAGGCTTCTGCTTCGGAGCCAGCGTCCGGAAGACGAGAATGTTGAGGCACGTTGGCACATTCGGTGCTTCGGCTACCTGAGGCAACGTTGAATCACAGCGATACAAGGATGACTTCCAGCTGGCATTGGAGCGCGAAAAGCCCTTTCTTCAGTCTTCAGTTGCCCAGATGTTGATCAAAAATGCTTTCACACTCCAAAACACCACGCACGGCCGAGTGTAGGCGCATGCTCTCATCCAGCTGCAAGCACCTCGGCCCGGCCCCCATGGACCTGGGAGTACACCTGGGAGCACATGTGGGAGCACATGTGGGCATATCAGGGCATTGCACGTTGCCGACGTTGCCATCACCGTAGGCAGCTACATCGACGCCGGCGAGAAGTTGCAAGAAGCTCTGATGGTGCCTTGCTTGTCATGTTGTGGCAGCCCTTGATCTTCAAGAACTTTGGCACGCGGCAAACTCCATGAATTTAGCAGGCGGCGAAGGACGAGCTGGTGGAGGATATGCAGTTCAAAAAGTATGCACTTCGCCGGCGCCCTTGAATGTTCCTATCTAGGAAGCTCAGATATGCGGCAAAACAAGCAACTGCATCCGTGGTTAACTCTTGGTCCCGGATCCCTTGCCGTGGGATTCGTGGGACTGCGCATCATGGCAGTTGCTGCCGCTGCGTGTTGCTACAAAGTCTCCCACTTCAGCGTTGCGCCGCAGGCTTAGAGAAGTCTGCGCTGCAATTTGACCCTTTCCATGGACGAGATCGGGCTTGCGTCTTGCGGCACCCTCGAGCTGTGCTCGCTTTTTTGCCTTTGGCATTCTTTACTCTTACTGATCTGACATTGTAAAGGCCGATGGTCGCCGAAAGCAACAAGGCCGGAGCCAAGTCGGGCACTTGGTGCCACGTGAAAGCGTTTTGAGAAGCCACTTGGTGCTCCATTGTCGGGCGCGAGCTCCTCACGCAAAAGCACGTGTGACAATTGGGATCAAGCCGGGCAGCAAGCAGGCAACAGGCAAGCAGACAATCTTTGTGTCGAAAAGTGTACTTGGCAGCTTTAGCTTTCTTGTCTTTACTTCTATGATGGAATATGGAAGGGAGGTATAGAAGCACACATCCGTCAAAACTCAGCCTCAGAAAGAAAGACTTACGGCACATTGCACATTGGCTCGGGAGCCATGGATGAAAAGGCTGACACTGACACCGGTCAGGAAGCTGCTAGCTGCCAGGAGGCACAGCAGGCCCAACCATTCCCAACGAACTCTTCTGGCATTTCTGCATCGTGATATTCCTCACGGCTCAGCCACCTGCGCTTGAATTCGACCAGATTGACCTTGCAGGAGGTGGCTACCAGTGCGGCTCCTGCTAAGGGCAAAGGCAGGTACACATCTCTTGGCCCTGGACAATTTGAAGAGTTGAAGATAGTTGAAGTCTGCATTGGCTTCGAGCACTGAAGCCTGACAGGTAAGGGCAAAGGTCCACCCGTGCCGAAGCCCAAGCCCAAAGTGGAGGCCGCCAAGTTGGAGGTGCATGCAGTTGCGGCTTCGCTAAATGTTCTCAGCAGGTCACAGGCCGCGAAGTGTCTCATCATGATGTCACATATGATGTCACATGTGGCGTGAAGTGGCATAAAGGGGGCCCCTTGCCGCGGCCAAGGTGGACCTGGCTCCCCGGTTTGTTCTGGAGCGGCCACCAAATTCGGACAAGGGCGGGGTGTCTTGCCAAGCACATCCAAACACAGATCTGGCGCAAGCATTTCAAATTTCTCACAAAGTCATTGCATATTTTTCAAAATCCCCCGGATGGGCGAAGCCCCACATAATCCCCCCTCGACGCGACGCACCACTTCAGCGGATCGCGACGCTGGAGCAAGCACTTGCTTCTGCATTTTGATGCGCATAGACTAATGGACCTGGAGGATTGCAGTGCACTTGGGCACTACGTCGCTAAGAGCCAGCATTTGCTGCGGGAATCACAGTTTTGGCTTTGGCTTTAGAGATATGCAGTCGCTTGCACTTGTTACATCACTGTCACCTGTGGATATAACGGGTGGCCGCGAAGTGCCGCGCATTGCTCAATGATCTGTCAGCCTGAGGCCGCAGCCTCAAGCTAATTTGAGCCAATCAAAAACGCTTCGTGCACTCTTCCGGACTCTTCCCATGTGCCACGCGCTGCTTCTGCTAGCTTTTCTCAAGCAACCTGGAACCTCAGGCCGCCTCAGAGCCCCGAGCAGAATTGCAGAGCTCTGACTCCAGGTGATCAGGTTCTCAGACAACCGGTCTCAGCTCTTCTTCTTGGTCCGCCAACTTACTGACAGCGGACGACAGGAGGCGAGCCGGGTGTTGCAAAGCGCTTCAGCGGAGCCCTCTCTCTCCCCCACATTCCCCGTGCACAAAGTGTGATGACATGACACAGATTTCATGTGTTTTCTTGTTTGTGCCCTTATGAGCCCTTATGTGCTTGAAGGGTATCCGCGTCGATCAAGCACTGCGCCACTTGGGCCGCCTCCGTGCTCTGAGATACGAATGTGACAACTACAATGCGGCCTCTCGGCCAGCGGATGCACAGCGCTTTGGCCGCAAACCCTCCGGGGACATCCCAGCACGCAGAGCACGCAGAGCACGCAGTTGGAAGATGTTCAACTTGCTCAAAGTCTCCAGGCGCTTCTTGGAGTTCTGTTCCTCCTGCGGCTGGGGCCTCAGTTGCAAACTGCACTGACTAAAAAATCAAAGACATCACAATTTGTTGGCGACATGATATGTACAGCCATCTGAGGCACTCAAGCGGGAGACCGCCCAGTTTGTCTAGATGGCTTGGACGAGCTGATCACAACCTTGGAGGGTGAGATTGAGGATTTGGAGAGTTTGAGGGAAGAGATCAACACAGGCGCGCTAGTGGAGGAACTTACGTGCTGACGTGCTTTCATGACCCTGTCTCAAGCGCCATTCACAGCCTGACAGCAGACTCTGCGAAAGACCAGGCCACGTGCAATTCACAGCCTTGGCAGAGGTCTTCACTCCAGGCAAGAAGGCCGGCACACCTGTAATGAGGATCCTTTATAGTACGGAGAGAATGCCGGCAGTGCAAGGAAAATACTCGGCTGCATGACTTCTGAATTGATTGCTGTGAGCACGTTGCCGCTCAACGCTGGAGGTCTTCATGCAAGTGGATGGGTTGAGCGAACCCGTTGGCATGACAGTACTACAGAGCTGGTATCAGGTGCAGCAAACCTTGTTTGGACCAGAGAAATCCTTCCACATGGAGCTGGAATTCTTGGCACACTTGGGATCCAGCTTTGCCCTCGTCAATTTTCAAGAGGTCATGTCTGCTTTCAAGGGCATCCGAAGGTTGGATTCCCTCTTCTACGAGACAGTGACCCCCAAGATGCTGGAGAGGCTACATCAGCGTGGGGCGAAGTACCGAGAAGCTGCAACAAGCTCGCCGTACGTGCAATATGCGCGTGGGTCCTTTTTTGCCCATGGGCGTGCAAAGCATGCGACTCTCTCAGGGGGCCGTGTCATGTTAGACACTCGGCGTGGCCATGAGTATGGCCATCACGCTGCTCGTGGGGGCGACAACTGTTCCATGGCTCTCCAGCAAGCCATGCGAACCTTCAAGCTGCAGCAGAAACATGGCACTGAGGGCCTCCGATTGATTCAGGAGCCTCGGGAGTGCGAGCTCTGGATGGCATGGCCAGCAATGGTGGGGTTTTCCTTCACTGCAAAATGTTGGGGACAGGTGCTGGTGGCAGACACCTCTCCCATCCAATTTAGGGCCCATGCGTTCGAACAACTTGTTCTGCCCGACGACATGAAGGAGATCATCAAGCCAGGTGCTTAGCTCAAGCTGGACACCCCTTGCGGGCGTCAAGCGCAACTCCATTTCGGCTTCAATGTTAATGTTGCTTAACCAGCATCCCACACGATTAGTCCTTTCCCCAGACTAAGAATCTTGCGCAAGTCAGTGGATGGAAGAATCAGGGAGCAGCCCCAACCAGTGTTCGAATGAGAACTCCCCAGGTCTGCAGTGCGGCATGCCGGCACCAGCGGATTGGATTTCATTGAGGGCAAGGTGTGGTTGACCTGAGTGCTTTCGGATCCGGCGCTGTTCGAATTCCTAGACTGGCAGCTGGGTCACCGTCGTACTTTAAATCTTCCACATTTGATAAAGACAGCATCTTCCAAAATGCCTTGATAACTATTCAGGTGATAGTCACGAAAGCTACCCTTCGAGGGAGGGTGGTAGTTGGAGTTGCCTGGGGAGTTGCCTAGGACAAGACGCATTGCATTCTGCGTGTGATTTGGCGACTGTCCCTCCATGACAGGGAGACAACACCATCTTTTTGCTGTATGGCCCGCCTGGCTGTGGCAAAACGCTTACTGCCGAAGCAATCGCTGAAATGCTTCACATGCCTCTGTATGCGCCTTGACAATGAGTCTATTTGACGGCATCGGGCCTTTCACTCAGAAGCTGCCGGCACTACTCAGGTGGTGACTGCCGGCGATTTAGGCATCAACGCGCAGGAAGTGGAGCAGAACCTTTCACAGGTGCAGAGATCGCACACAGACGGTGGGTTCTGCGTCCACAGTTGCAGGGCTCGAGGTCCATAGTGCGAAAGCAAAGGCAACAGTTCACGCGTCCTACACCTGTGCAATTGCAGGTCCTACACCTGTGCAGCGAATGGAATGCTCTGACCCTCATTGATGAGGCTGCCGCTGGTCTCCGTACTTTGATGACAGTGCAACAGCCACTTCTTCAAGCTGTCCCCAGTTGAAGGTTGTAACCCTGTAGCTGCTCCAAGGTTCTTCACATCTCAGGCTTAAGCAAGTTCATATTCGAGAAGATATCGGCAATCAGTTGAAGAATGGACACCAGCATTCGCGGAAATAGGAATGCTGAGCTCAGGATATCTTCCTTGAAGCACGTTCCTCTTCTGAGCTGCAGCGAAACGCTCTGGTGTGCGTCATGCTCCGGCTGCTGGAATACCATCAAGGACCGGAGAAGATCATAGGCGCGCCAAGAGGCTGTCATTTGCTTCTCCTGATCGTTTTCCGGTTTTGCTTTGCCCACCCTGCCCATTCCTTCTGACTCATCTCGCATCGCCCGTCACTCTTGCGCCAGCCGTTTTGTCAAATGCCGGCCGCCTGTTCCCAACTGACCTCGCCGACTCGCTGATGCTGCTGATGTGACGCCCCATGACCCTTTTGATTAAAAATGTAAACCAGCGGCCTTGGGGCTTACGGTGTAAGGCTGCACTGGGTTTGACAGTTTGACATACAACTCGGGCCTGGGCATTAGGTCATTAGGCTGTGGGGGAACAGCGCCAGTCAGTGTGATCTCCAAGGGTCCTCATGTCTTGAGATGCTCAACGGCACAGAGACGACTCCATCTGGCTGTTTCTTTAAGTCTTTGGGCTTCGTTTTGCCGGTGGCACGTGGCACATGGCACTCTTTACGTGCATACTTTCCTTCACCTCGGGGTCCTTGCCACATCACACAAGAACCTGCCATTCCCCCATCTCGCCGCAACTCTGGTGAGCGAGAGAGACTCACGCGCGAGCCGTTGACCTGGAACTCGCCGGTTGAACGACAGTTTAACAAAGATTGAACAAGCCAAACATGTCAGCTTTGCTGTTGCTGTTGGACCCCTGCGCTTTCCGATTGATTCACAAAAGCAGCATCACTACGGTACCAAAAGACAGACCTCTGCTGCTCTTCAGGAATTCTCTTCCTGACATCAAACAGGGCCAGCAACATTGATCCTGCCGTCCGCTGCCTGACCTTGCGCCAGATGTGAGCTGTTGTTGAATGTCTGCCTTGATACGTGTCCGCACGTGAGCGGCTGAGTCATGAGCTGCATGTACAATAGATTGAACAGCAGTCCCAGGTCAGGTCCCGCATCACCGTGGCTTTGCATTATGAGCCATTGAGCCGGCAAGGGCGCGAGGCTGTTTGGAGCAGCTTGCTGCAGCACCTTGGCAAGCATGACCTGGGATGCACCTTGGCAAGAGTCTAAGAGGCATGCGCCACTTCTGAGGAGAATCCCACATTCCCAAGCAGATGCGTCGAAGCTCGCGCGCCATGCCCTCAACGGTCGGCAGATCAAGAGTCCCTCGGCTTGATTTCTGACATCAGACCACTATATCCTATATCTACAGATCACCTTCTTATATGCTGTTCTAGGATGAGTCGAATGACTCGAATGAACAGCTTGCCTCACCTTGAGAAGGCTGCCTGTTGCTTGGGAATTCTTTGGCTGCGGAGCGTGGCGAGAAGCTGAATGGAGACTTGATTGAGCGCGCAGTGTCTGTGGTCGCGGATCAGACTGGCGAAGGTTGCTTGGAGTCATGGAAAATCTAGTTGTAGTCCCTAGCATCATAAACGTGTGTGTGTCACAATCCCAGACAGCATTCATGTCCTAAGCATAGACATGCGATTCTCGGCAGGGTTCGGTCCGTTCAGTGTAGCACTGGGTCCTGCTGTCAGGTGGCGCAGAAGACGTGCTGCAAGAACATCCCCAATCATCTCGAAAAGTCTACATGCCCGGTGTTCTGCAAGCTGCAACAGTGACCGCACATCCTCGTGGACGCACTATACTGCAAAAGGAAGCTTCAGGCTCGGCAATTACGCCCAGGGCGTCTCGGGAAAGGCCACTGCAACCCAGGGACTCATCCCAGCCGCTATTTCCTGGCACTACTGGCACACCGGGACTACAAGTGCATGGTGCACTGCATGGCATGATGCCAACTGCACCAACTGTGCCAACTGTACCAGCTGCAGCAGCTGTACCAGCGAGCCCTCGAGTGATTGCCTCAACCTCGAGCAGCTCGAGCATTGCAAATCGAGGCCCGACCATTGTGCACGGCAAACCGTCTCACTTGTGGGAGCCGACTCAAAGCCAGCGGCACCGTGCATCCTCTCATCTTGTTCTAGGCCACGATGCCAACCCATTTCAGCAGAACGGGCCGAATGGGCCAGCATCGAGCCGAATTTCAACAGACACCACATCATTCACTGACGCGATCCCGCAGCTCTACTCCTGATGTGAGAGGAGAGCGAGGCATGCGAGGCTTGTCCATAGTCCAGCGTCTTTGGTGTTACCGCATGAGGGGGGACGGGGGAGTGCTTTTTACGGAGTTATTGCGTGGTTGGTCTGTTTTGTTAGCTGCTGGCTAACGGGGAGACTTTGTGCACGTTGGGCAAAGAGAGCATTTATCCCGACGCTGCAAGTGCAAAGCAAACTCGGCAAACTCTGCATGCACCAGTGGTTAAAAGACGTTAAGCGTCGACATCGGCAGCGCACACCTGTGACAAGCGGCGGCATTGCGCCAATAGCAGCAGCTCTGAAGAAGTTGACGCCGCAGAAATATTTCTTCTGAGGCAACATGCCGCCACGACTGATGGCGATGTGCCACTCGTCAAATTGTCAAAGCGAGAGTAACATGCGTAGCACGAAAGGTGAGAGTCCATTGGATATGGCGGGGGCTACAACAAGAATCCATACTGCAGGCCCGCTGATTGAGCCTTGGTAAGGTCGGGATATGACACGGCGGCTCGCAAAAGTTTCAACAATGATGATGCCGGGAGTGCAGGCCCCAGTGCTTCGAAGTGGTGAGCCTCCCTTTCTGAAGATTGCAATGATTTGAAACTGATTCGCAAGTAAGATATCCTTTGCCCATGTTCAAAGGTGGTTCTGCCATGTTCTGGTGTGCCCTAGGTGAGGAGAGTACCGAGAATGTTCATCGATCGGTGCGCCCCTGAAAGCCTTGCATTCGGGGAAGTGCCAGCCGAAAGTCGACTTAAAGTTCACATGTGACGACCGCACCGAGCACAAGTGACGCCCAGGTCAAGTACACAAATGAGTTGTTGGAAAGGCGGGTGTTCACGGTGTTCACCGACCGTGAAAAGGGCTGCACAAAGGGCACAAAGCGTCTTGCCAAGGACACTGCAGCTCGAGAGGTCCGCTGCGCATTTCCTAGACAATGCAGAAGCGCCCTCAGGAAGATGGGCTTGGGAACCTGCTTTCTTCACGCACTCTGCGCCGGGCTGTGTAGGGGCAGCGGGGCAAAGCATTCAATCGACAGCTTCGAGCGCATTTCAGCTAAGGACGAACTCATCAGTTGCGTCAAGCAGCAGGTGCAGCAGCCCACCAAAGAGCACACATCAGCCTGTGGCATCAGCATGGAACTCATCAGCATTTGTAACGTCACAATTTTGTGATCATGTAGGTCAGGAAGGCTCATGAAGCTTCTCTGTCGAGCTCACCTGGCAGATTTGCCACTGCACATCTGGCTGCTGGTATTTGAGCGTTGAACGCGCCAGGTATGCAGGCAAGCATCTTGAACCTGTCCCAGCAGAAGATGGAGCTGCAGGAAGGCGTTGCCCAAGGTCCTGGTCCTGAAGCTTTGGAGCCCCGGCGCTTCTGACAGCAACTGCGCACCTGAGGTCAGATCGACATCAACCGGACAGAAGCTCTTCTCCAACACATGCAGAAGGAGATCAAGGGCCAGAAAGCGCTTTGCCCTTGGCAGGGAGAGTCCTCCTCTGTCCCCCTTCTGTGCTTTCTGCGCCCATGCACAGCAGTTGTCAAAAATGCGCAAAAATTGGGATTCGCAGTAAGGACGTTGGAGGAGTGGGAAGAGTCGCAGGAAATCCCACTCGAGAAGCACGTTGCTAAGCCTTAGCTTTCCATATGCATAAGCGGGTGGCCTGTTGACACATGCTTCGTTTTTCTTTCTCGCGGTCTGGTCAGGTTTGACCAGCGTCTCCCTGTTGCTATACAGCAGGACTGAACAGTGGGCCTGTAGTTCTCGAAGTAGCTGATGAAAGTATGAGGACATGCGCCTCAGTGCTGTCGACCGCATGCAGGACGGATCACGGGGGAAGTATGCAGGGTGTAGCGGGCACAATGTTACAGACGCGCACATGGTCAACCCATAAATTATTCTTCAGTGCCCCTGTCTTGGCGGACCTTCTGTTGCCAGGCCCCCATGTAAATGCAAGTTTGTCGGGCTATTCAGGCGGGCTATTCAGGAACCGCTAAGAACAAGAGACTGAAAGGCCTTATGCCTGCAACATGACCTGAAGAAGCTACAGTAGCCCGAACCAGGAGAGAGTCTCAATGCATTTGTTTTCTGTGAAGCCGGGCTGCTTTGGGTGGCTTCTGAAATCAGTTCTGCAATTCTCCAGGAACACATGCACAACGCCAGGAGCAATGTGCCTCCCTTGGTTAGGTGGAGAATGCTGAAGCAGCATTTAAAGGCAGTGTGGTCACTGATGTCACTGGCGAAGCCGAGGTTCACACGCTCAACCACAAGTGTGAGGAGACGAAAGAGTTGCTGCAGCACTCCTTACGGCTTTTTTGCAATTGAAAGTAGGCTTGCGAGTTGCAGCCAGGGCACATAGGTAGCAGCGACTTGACAAGTGAAAGGTCGCAGCTTCGGAGTTCCTCGGAGTTACTGCAGAAGCACCTGACAGACGTGACAGCCTCTTGGACCGCACTTCTCCCTCATATTAGCCTCTAACTTGAGACTCCAAGTGTTCCCGGCTTCTCTTCGGCCTGGCTTAAGGCATCCTGGAACATTGACATGCGCAGACCCCAGTGCCAACAGAAGACACATCGGGAACGTATTCTTTTGGCAAACTGCTAGTACTGCGAGGCAATGCTCCAAGGTTGGTTTCAACAAGGACCCACATTTTGAGATGGCCTTGTTGCCTGGAGCACGTTTTGATGTTACAGCTGGCACTAGGATGCAAATTCGTCATCAGTTTCCACATCGAGATCAAAGGGCTCATCCTTTGCTGCTGGCTCAGTTCAGTGTGACTCAGTTCGAGATTATCTTCTTCTCACTGGAAAGGTACCAGCCAGCGGCCACTTGTCAAAGGAAGCGCTAGATCTGATGCTGGCTTGCAATCAGAAACCCTCAGTCTACGGAGATGTTGATGAGCTTAAGCACCAACTTGCACAGCAATGCATCAAGACAGTTCACAGAAGCCTTGCAGAGTCCTAAGTCGTGTGTGGGCGGCATGCATGAGTCCCGGCCCAGCAAGGATTCGCTCCAGGATCAAGTCCGCGGCGTACGTTGGACGGGCTGCAGATTGCGCTTGATCGCTTGTCACGTCAACGGCATTCAAGATCCATCAAGACATCAGGACCGAAGCAATCATACGATGTCATCTTCAAACGATTCGACAAGGACCTTACCAAGCTTGCCACACATTGACTGCGGCGGTGCTTCTATTCATGTTCATATTCAGACTCTCGGCTATGTACCTTTCGCTACCGTGCAGGATGGATCCGGGACGCTGTGCTTTGAAGAGGTGAAGAGTGCACTGCGTAGAATTCTCAGGCGGGAAGCATACCATTGGTACAAGCTGCGGCAAGTTGTGAGCTAGCATATCGTCACATAGTGTGGACCGTGGACCTCGGACCTGGGCGTGCAATGCCTCAAAACCTCTTCACCTCCACCCATTACTGGCGTTAGAGGACAACAGCTCAAGAAAAGTTAGGTCGTTGTAAATTCGGGCTCAAGGTACACCAGCTGCACCCTAGCGTCCAGACCTGCTGCCTGCAATGGAAGAACTAGAAACTAGAACCCACTGATCCGATGTCTAAAACGATGTGCCAATTCTGCGCCTGTTCTTGCTGTTGTGACGGCTCTAGGGCTTCAGGCCCGGTGCTTGCCGGATTGCCGTGTGGCGCCGCAAGAAGACTCAAATTTTACATCCACAAAGAACTGCAGACAGGTACTTCGCAGTCGTTTTGCCCCCGGTGCAAATTATCAGGGCCTTCGGGTTAATTTGTCAAGGTCTGACAGAATTCTTTGCTCCGGGGTCAGACACAACTGATTTCATTTGTGTAGTCACGGGTTATGGTCTGGCAAGCTTGTGATCAACCCATCATGACATCGGCCCCTCACCTTTTCAGAAACTTCATCTCTCCTTGCCACTGCCGCCTCCTCGGCTTTTCCGCAATGCAAGCAGCATCTGCAGCTGAAGTTCTCAACATTTGGAGAAAGTCCTCTGGTCAGTTTTCAAACCCCACGAGCAGCTTCATGTCTTAATCATAACTACACAGCGTAGGTGGAGAGGAGGGGACTCTTGGACGCCGTAGACACCAGCCTAGTTTTTGCTACCGAGAAAGCCGTCTTTGACTTTGTTTAGCCATTGCAGAGCCATTTGGGTATGTGCTCTCAGAGCGAAGCCTAGTCTACCAAAGTGTCTTCGACAGAGAGGATACCGAGCTCCAGCCTCAACGACTATCAGATCTCCTCCTTGTGCGCAGCGCTCCTTGGCTACGTCTCATGGCATCCCTCGCGGCGGCTGACTCGCAGCACGCGCTCGGGTGCTCCCTCTCCCTCCCTCTATCTCTCTCTCGCTCCCCTCCCCTCCCTTCTTCACTGGAGTTCGAAAGAAGGTTAGACACGAACGACTCCGGCAACGTGGACATCGCCGAGCTGGTGGCCTTTCTTGGCTCAAATCTTGGATTGCGCGGAAGTGTTCTTGTTGGGCTTTTCAGCTCACAAAGTCTCAAAGTATGCAACACTGTCATGGGCAAGTGAACTCATGTCTCTGTACTTCCCCTTGCACTTCCCCTACGTCACGTGTGTCGCATAGGTGCGGAGTCTCTCGAAGGTCGCCGTGGCGGGTTGAAAGAAAAGCTGAACCAGGATCTTGGCCTCAGTAAGGCCGGGCCTGGCGTATCAGCTGATGCCAGCCATGTTTGCCAAGTTTATGCCAAAGTGGATGTTTTGAGGTCGATGACGGTTCTCTTCAGCTTGACTGCTTTGCCTATTCCTTAGCAGTGCCTCTGCACGCCTCCAGTTGCTGACTCAAAGCCAAAAAGGATCAAACACTCAGGTCAAACGCAAGCCGCGTCAGCACAACGGCCAGCATTCGCAAAAGCTGCCTGCCAACAGTAGCAAGCGACGTCCTCAGCTGAGGTATGCTGAGGTGGTATAGCACACTCAGCCTACTGACATAGTACCGAAACATACCGAATCATACATTGTTTTTCGACAGATTCGATGTCCAGACGCCCAGTACAGCTTTGACATGAACTGCGCCGCTTGTAACGAGAAGCGTCGCAAGACCCTCACCTAAGCCAGGATTCCATTACCGCAGAACGTGGTGGAGATGCTTCGGTCAAAGATGAAGGAAGGGACTGCAGGGACTTGACAAAGGAGTCCTAGTGAGTTGCAGATTTGACGTCGCAAGCGATAGTAGTAAGGGAAAAGGGGAGATGCGGCATCAGGCGGCGGCCTATGCTGGACAGCTTGGTCGTGAGATTAAGGCCTGCGCGGAATCGGCTTCGGCGGTAGATCAAGGGGTACACAGAGTTACAAATGTACTTGCTCCAGCTAAGTATACACATGTATACTGTATAAATATCAACTTCAGGCCGAGGGAGGCAAAGTGCAGAAAAGCTACACAGATCACCTCATCTAGGCTTTGTTCTCCCGCTTCGACTACAATGGCTCCGGTTTCCTGGAGGCGCGAGAAGCCCAAAGCATTGGCGCATCTCCTACATGCGCATGCGCTTGATTGGTAAGACCATTTAGACATGCAGGAGGAGTGGTAGGTTCGTGGAATTTCGTACGTATTCCGCATTTCGCATCCCGCAAAACAGCTGCGAAGTGCTCACCAGCACATCAGGTGGATGAAGTCCGCCAGGTTTTGCGCCGAGCCATGAGGAGCACAGCACATCGCAACATTGTCAACTCTAAGTCAACACTGTGACGTCGAGGCTATGGCATGGTTGTGGCATAGTGCCAGGATACCGCCGACGGTCATCACCGACCAGCAGATATGGAAGTCCACCCACTGGATACAACCCTTAAGACCTTCATGATTGCACCTGGCCGGTGATGTTGCTGCAGGTTGTGTGCCTCCTTGGATGTGGACAAGTCAGGTGTCCAGAGCTGAAGACCTTCCAAATGCCGTGGATGCACGAGTGTTCAGCGCGAAGCGTGCAGATATGTTCAAATGTTTCGAGCGAACCTGTCGGGCATAAGCTTGCTTAGGCCATCAGCATCGAGGAGCTCACTCGATTTGTCAGCCTCTGATGCAGGCCTGAGTTTTGCAAGCTCGATTGTGGTCATTCGTT